TCTAACGTTATCGATAAATAACTAAAAATAAAGACGAAAAAGGAAGAAAGAATAAAAAATACTATCTCGAAGAGGGTATACTTAAATATATTAATATAACCAATAATATTACACGAAAGAATACAACCAATTAAAAGGCGCCTTAGCGTAAGAATAAACCAAACTATTATAATAAGGGTTTATGAAATTTAAATTTCTTAAAAATACTTATATAAAATCGTTAATCGAGGAAACCTAGACGGCCAAATTAGGAAGGTAATCGTTATCCGTAATAATAACTATAGAGACAAGGGGTAATATTATTAATTAAGAATCCAAATTCTAATATTCTATTATAATAATAAATATATAGTAGGTACTTACAATCTTAAATTAGGATTCCAACATCCTTTTCCACCTATTATCCTAAAACTTTATAAATTTATATATCAATTAAAATATCTCACTAAGAATAGAACCTATTAGGAGATAGCTATCCAACGTTATTATAAGGAGTTAGGCCTAAAATAAATAAATATATATAAGAATATATTATCAAATTAGAATATATTAAATATATATACTATAATAATATCCTAAATTACCTAAGTTCGCCTCGTAGAAAACTATTATATTTACGCTAATAAATTCCTCGAAGCTACGTAAATTAGGACGAGGCGTCTAAGGGAAACTTATAATAGGTAATTACCCTATCGTTATTAATTAGTCTTAATTAAATAGAATAAGCAAATATAAATTTGAAATAAAATATCTACTACTAAAGTAAAATAGTATTAAGAAAGAAATAAGGAAAAGTTTATAAATAAAATTTAAATAGGGATATAAGCACTTAGAAATACTAAATTAATATACTACTAAAAATTGGAATGAAAAATATAATTTAATATTAATAAAAAAATATATAACCGTTTAGTAGTCGATAAGCGAAATAATTTCGAAGTTCGGACGAAGCTAATTCTATAAACAGTCTAAAACCTATATTCTTTCTTGTGAAAAATTTCCTTCTCTCTTCCTCTCTACTCTTTTAACTAACTAAAATACTAAAATTCAACAACTTCCCCCTATATAAGTATTATATAAGGGGTATATAAATATCGCATCTTATATCGGAATTAAAACGTATAATAAAATAGTTATATACCCGCTTTCTTTCTCTTTATACCCCCTTTTTTCAAATATTAGAACATACTAAACTTAATTTAATACAATATTAAAAAAAAAAAATTTCGTACTTCGTATACTCCAATTATTCCTTTTTATACCTTCGCAATTCGCAATATAATATCGTAATATTAAATTAAATTCAAATTTAATTATCTTACAGCTTATGTTTAATATACAAAATATAAATTAATTTAATAAAGGATAATCAATATATATTTAGAATTAAAATAAATAATTCCACTAAATAAAACTAAATTCTTTACGAAAATAACCTTCAACGCAATTAACCCGTACCAACAATATAATTTTTTCTATAACCTAATCCTATTTAAACGTATTACTAATACGTCTAAATATAATACTAGAATATAAATTCTACTTCTTATCTACTTATTAAATATATATACTAAACTAGACTATTAATCACGAAATTGAAATTATAAAGGGTTGAAAATAGAAATACATCTTTACGAATCTAATATTTCGTAAGAAATATATTATAACTAAATATTAAGTAATTAACTCTAATTCTTTTATTAGTAACCCTACCTAAGTAAAGACAGAAGCTATAAGGAAGCAATTATTTAACCCTTATATTCAATATATGTATACGCTATTAATATAATTAGATTTAGTATATTCATTGACTATATTTTATCCCGCTGATAGTAATATAGCCGCTTTTAAAATTTATTAAAATAAAAAGTAATATTATTAAATGCTATTACCGGTACTTTCAAACGAATAATGTAAATTTATATAAATCTATATAAAATAGGCTCATTTAATATAATAATTGAAAAATACCGATAATAAATTTATAAAAATATATAGTAACGACTTCTATTATTTAATTTATTTATAATACTAGTTCAATTTATATACACTATATATACTAATAATAAGTAATCCGACGTACAATTCCCCAAGTGCGAATATAAGTAAGAATTTATTATACTAAGAGAACGTTTACTTATATATTTAAAATTAGATTAGAATTTACAAATATTATTACTAATAAGTATTCCTTAGCGACGCAATATAAATAATTATACTATTAAATACAAATATAGTAGTATTATATATACTAACTATATATCCAACCTAACCTCCCTAAAACGGTTTCTAATCTACTAAATAGTTTTCGGGAGTTCGAACCGTCTAGCGAGCGCTTAATTCGAACTTTTAAAATTAAATAAATAAAGAAAGCTGCAATTTCGAAGTATTTTATACTAAATGAATAAATAGTACTCTTATTAATAATTCTAAAATTCCTATAAACCCTCTATAATATATTCCGGAATAGGTAAAACCCGCTGCCGATTTCTTCGAATTACCATCGCCTCTATATACGCCTACCCCCCCTCTAAATAAGGAAGAAGTAAATTAGTTATATTATACTACTTATATATTAAATTTATATTAATTTAATATAGGATAGCGACCTAACAGACCTCGAAAGAGAAATTATAAAGGAATTAAACCGGGAATTTTTAACGGAATATAATATAAATAATACCGCCGCTACTCCAACTACTATTATAAGGAGCATTAAAATAATAACGAAGCCTTCGTAAAATAAATAAATAAATCATTCGACCTAATTAGGTCTTAATAGTAAAAAGAAGTAAAGGGGGGGATATATTAAAATTCAATACCAATCCCTAATTAATAAGCCCATACTATAGAGCACTTACCTAATATATAGCCTTCGAAAAAGAAAGTATCAATATATATACAAAAGAAGCCTACGAAAATAGGAAGGAAGAGGTTATTTAAAATAGAAAGTAGCTAAGTATACGAAGAAATTAAATACTTAGTAAAGCCTAATAAGAAGGATAATTGGGGACGGATTCCTATATATTTAAGACTAGCCGCCCTAAGCTTTTAAAAGTTCTAATTTTCTTCCTCATTCTCATCTTCTTTACAATTAATTCAATTAATATAATTTTCCTAGTATATATAATATATATATATTTGGCCTACGCTATATATAATATATTGGGGTTGGATATAATTGGCTAGGTCAGTACGCGTATATAATTCATTAAAATACAGCTATCAACAGCGCGTTCGCAGGCTTCGTAAAAGGTTCGTACGGAGAAAATACAAAAAAGAACTTATCACGTAACAAGACCCTCTTTTTGTAAATCCCCCCGTGACAGTACCCTGCGATCCGGCTGGTCAATGCACCGGAGCTTGCATTGACTTGGGTCAGCTGTTCCAAGATTCCTTGGCAAATACCCCAGGAACCCCCGACCCGGCTATCTCCCACCCCCCTGCCCGACCATGAAGCGAGATCGTCATACCCCTTGGGCTTTCTCCACTTCTGCATCTTTCACCGTCAGTCATCATCTGACATGTGATTCTCGGAGCCAACCACAGCGTCGCCAATCCAGTCGCCCAAGGCCAATCCCCGGTGGTATAGTGGCTGCTAATAAACCCGAGACTGATATTGGATCCGGAATGGTTCAAACCTTTTCTTCCTTCTCCATCGTTTCCTCAAAACAGGCTTGCCAGGTCCACTCGCTCCTTTCCGCGCTAGAAGCCTCGGATTCTTTAGACTTCAAGGGCTCTCCAGCTGCTCTGCAAGTCGGCTGTGCGATGCTTGCTCAAGTTTCCGGCATCCAGTCTGGGGAACAGCAGCAGCTGCTGGCTATGTCAATGGTACGTCTCAAGTGAGGTATTACAAGGCTTACCATATTGTGAGATGGTGTGTGCATTGTTTCGGCGTCCCCGCCGGGCGACGCCTGGTTTTGGTTTGCTTGTGGATGGATCTATCCGGGCCCTCTCCCAGGAAGGGAGAAACGGGATCTCCCCGATGGACCATCTCATTAGACTGGGGATATCCCTTTCGGCATCGTACCCCATGAGGGAGACACACACCCACCACGGGACCACCTCCCTGCTTTCCGTCTTGGTAATATGTCAAGCCATTCTAGTGTCTCGCTTTTTCCCCCACACCGGGCTTCCAGAATCCGGTATAATAACTCATCTGGTCCCCCCCCCTCCCGGGTTTCTGGTCGGCTGACTAGACTTTCTTTGTTCTGAATCTTCTTCCATCTCATAATCATTCTATAAGACCCGCAAAGCATCGCTCAGTGAAAGTCATATACCATTCACCAATCCTCATCCCATCCGAACTCATACATACCCGGCCGGCATTTTACACCTGCCAGCACATTTTGGCACATACAAAGCACATCGGATATCCCCAACTGCCCGTCCACTCGCACACACGCAGCAACTGCAAGCGAGTGTCTCAACCTTGGTCAAAGCGACAGCATTATCCATCTATAAAAGAAGCACATTCCATCAGTCAAAATGGGCGAAGATCTCCACGCTTCCATCACGCGCGTGCGCCTTGCTCTTCTTCAATCTCAGTTAGTTTAACCCATCCCACCATCTACAACACATTTTGTTCCTCCCAACTTACACCAAATCACTCAGGGTTCGCGAGCAGCCTGGCACTTCGCCCGTTCGCCGCCGCAGAAGAAGCATCTCTACGGCCGTGGCCCGCGCCGGATCCAAGGACGGAGTTCCTCTTTTCGCCAAGCAGAGGGTCGTTCGCGTTGCTCTCTAAAGAGGCTTCATCTCTTTGATTACTTCCTCTCTCGGCATTTCTTTCTCTTTTCATACGGCCTATGTGGCCCTAGATTCCTTTTTCATCAAGCTCCTTTGGGTACTCATGCAACATGTCTCCTCATCAGGTCAACAATGATCAGCAGCAGGAGCAGAAGCAGGGTTCTTCGGCGGGACGCGGCGGGATGCAATTCAAGGCTCCGCCTGGTTGTGGCGGTTTGGGCGGACTAGGCAAAACTCCCGAACACTGGCTCATGGGCGACGAGGCATTTGAGGCAAGGATGCCCCATCATGATGGGATCAAGGCGCTGTGGGAGACCAAGTGGAAGTTCCCAGTAAGTTTCCTCTGTGCCATTGGTTGTTTGGCTTCTTCATTCTTGTGTGTTTTACTATTTTCGGTTTCTGCTTTACGGTGTCAAAAGGGATCATCATAGCATCGGAGGGAGGGTGAGGGGGAAACAAAACAGTACCATCGTCACCTCAAGTCAATTCAACTGCTTTTACACATCGCTTCCATAGCCTATGCATTGCGCACCGCACCACAATGGTTTTTGTCTCTTCACATCGCCATTTTCCAAGCGCGACCCTACCAAGGTAACACAATGCTAAACTCACCTACTACTCAATCTAGTGCTCCAAATCCCTCTACCCCTTCCACGACGGCCTCTACGAAGACTTCGCCCCCTCCTTCGACGCCCTCATCAAGGCTAACCTCAACGACATGACCTCCCCCGAGTGGACCAGAACCTTCCTCTCCACGGGGGTAGCCGAAAAGCTGGTTGCACAGGGCGACAAACTCGTGGCCGAGCTCAACAACAACATTGACCCCCCATCTCTCCAACCGGAGCAGCAGCAGCAGCAGCAGCAGCAGAGACGCAGACAACTCGGCGAGCAAGCCTCCGCCCTCTACCTCCGCGCCTGCTGCCTCTACCGCATCGCCCGCTTCCCCTACATCACTTCCTTCCCGAAAGTCAACGACCAGACGAAGTGGGATGCCTGGCAGAAGCAGAAGGAGGTCTACCTGAAAGCGGGCAAACTGTGGGAAGAAAGTCCCCTGGAGGAGGTCGAAGTGCCGTTTGTCAAGAGAAGGCAGCAAGAACAGGGGGGTGAGAGGGAAAAGGAAAAAATTCCCGTTTATGTGCGGGTTCCTCCTCCTGCTGGTACTTCTACTACTATCGGTTCTGCTTCTTCTGAGGCTTCTTTTGGTCCTGCTGCTTCTGCTGCTTCTTCTGCTCCCGGAAGAGACGTGAACATTGATGGCTACCCAACCGTCATCCTCATGACCGGCCTCGACGGGTACCGCCCCGATAACACGGTCCGCTGCAACGAGTTCCTCGCTCGTGGGTGGGCCGTCGTGGTGGTGGAGATCCCGGGGACGGCGGATTGTCCTGCTGATCCGACGGACCCGGAGAGTCCGGATCGGTTGTGGGAGAGTCTGTTGCAGTGGATGGGTACTTACCAGTATCGCAGCGGAAAGAAGGCGTTTGATATGAAGAGGGTCATGGTCTGGGGATTGAGTGCGGGCGGGTATTATGCTGTGAGGATCGCGCATACGCATGGTCATAGACTGGCGGGCGTGGTGGCGCAGGGGGCGGGGGTGCATTATTTTTATGATGAGAAGTGGTTGGAGAAGGTGGATGGGCATGAGTATCCTGCTCAGTGAGTCTTGCTTCTTTTACTTACTTTTGAGGGATGAGGTTAGAGTGGTGATTTGGTTTTGCTAACTGGAGATGTGTGACGACAGACTCACGCCTGCTTTCGCTATGAAGCATGGGTATAACTCGGTTGAGGAGTTCAAGGCTGGTGTGCAGAAGAAGTTCTCTTTGTTGGAGAATGGGATTTTGGATAAGCCTTCGACTAGGCTTTTGTTGGTCAATGTGAGTTTTCCATCCACTTCACCGTTTCATTATTGAAAGTGTCTAGGACAGTCAACTGACGGTTAAATGCAGGGTACCCAAGATGGTTTGATGCCCATCGAAGATTCCATGATGCTGCTCGAATACGGCTCGCCCAAGGAGGCTCGCTTCTTCACTGGTGCTTTGCACATGGGATACCCCCTGGCAAACTCGGCTGTCTATCCTTGGATGGAGAGCGTTATGGCTTCGGTTAGAGATTAGGTAGTCTCTGCCCGGACAACAGCAGTTTAGCTGTGACGGTATGAACTCCCCGGAATATGCATGTCAGAAGAGGGTAAATATCAATGAGGTCAGATGTTTTGAACTTGTAAGCATACTCGAACAACAGAATAGTTCTAGTTAGTCACTTTTGAAAAGGCAACAAATATCATCATGCAATTCTTTTCCATCCAGTACCATCACTGTTGCTTCAGGTACACATTCTTCCCAACTTACCGTCCCATCCACCCACCATCAACAACCAACACATGGCCGCTCACGTAACCACTCGCCTTACTGGCCAGATACACAGCCGTCCCCTTGAAATCCTCCGGACTTCCCCACTACAACACCGAACACGGCCGGAGCCATCACGTTAGCAAGTCAAGCCACCAAAAACGTCACACCAGAATAATAAACAGTGTCAAGGGGAGCAAAATGAAATGAACTTACCCTCCCAGCCGGAATCCTCGCACTAATACTCTTCAACCTCTCCTCATCCCTCAACAACGCCTCATTCATCTCCGTCTCAATATACCCCGGCGCAATCGCATTAACCGTCACCCCTTGACTCGTCCACTCATTCGCAAAGCTCTTGGTCAACTGCCCCACCGCCCCTTTACTCGCCGCATAAGCAGGGACCGTCAACCCACCCTGGAACGTGAGGAGGGAAGCAAAATTGATCACCGACCCTTTTCGGCAAGTAACGGGGTGGGGGTCTAGACCCAACATGTGCGCGCCCACGTCCCGGCAAAGAGTGAAGACGGTGTTGAGGTTGACTTGCATCACTTCGGCGAAGTCGGCGTCCGGGAAAAGGTGGGAGGGGTGCCGCCGTTGGATGCCGGCGCAGTTGATGAGGATGCGGATGGTGTGTCCGTCGGAGAGGATGCGTGGCACCAAAGAGGCGACGTCGGTGGGGGAGGAGAGGTCGGCTTTGTAGATGGTGGCCTGGCGGCCGAGGGAGCGGATGGCGTTGAGGGTGGTGGTGGAGGTTTCGTCGCGCTGTGGTGTGGGTTTGGTTGTTAGAGATTGGTTTTCTTTGGAATAAGGGTATGACGGAGATAGAGGATGGAACGGAACCGACCTGAACGAGAAGAATATCGGCGCCGGCCTCGGCGAGGGCAATGGCTACGGCTTGACCGATGCCGCGCGTGGCACCGGTGATGAGGGCAGTGTGGCCCTCGAGGGAGAACATGTTCTGGACGACGCTGGTGGTGGTTGATGTCATCTTGGTTTGGTTGTGTGTTGTTAAATGGATGAACAGTCAGTCAGTCCAAGGAGAGGGATGGATTCAAGGATGAATCCGAGGGTTTCTTGAAAAGTTATACAAAAGTTGTCAATTGGGCTTTCAGGAACCTTGATGGCCGAGAATTTGGTAGTGTCGTAACGACGGCACGTCCAATGTGTCCCCCATCATCACCCTCCCACGCCCACCCAGCTGTGTCCCCCACGTAAAGCAGGCCATCATCATCCCACGCTCCCACTAAAAGTTTCGCTTAAATATTCTTCAACCCCTTCCTTGCTTTGGAATAACCGTCTGATCAGCTCGAAGAAACAGAACATCCATGATCCCTCACCATCCATGATTTCCCGCTTGGTTTGTTCGTTCCCCTGGAAGAACAAGTGGAGATCGCCCTCCTCGCTAACACAAGAGCACGAGGTGCGGGGAAGTTCCTCTTTCCCCGCTTTCCCCACGGAAGTACAACCGGGTCAAACGGGTCGGGTCTGGCTTTTGTCATCGGTACAATTTGTCGACGACAATGCTGTCATTCGCTAAAAGTAAGGCCGATATACGGAGTACAGCAGTAGCAGCCGGGGCTCACGAGGTTCTGACGTCCGGTGACTCTTTTTTCGTAATTTGTTTTGATGATATTTGCGAGTTCCGATGGGTGTAACCTGCGGTGTGATGGGACTAGCAGGCAGGTATCTCGGGGAGGTTCGTTTTATCGAATTGCCCGACCGTTGAAGCAATTGGGCCTTCTTACGAGGGAGAAATTGCACATCAACTTCTCCCGGGTTGACTTCTCTCCACCAATGTTGCATGGCCGAGTGGATAGCCGCAACTAGTTGAAGGGTTCGAGCTAGGGGGTATAGGTAGGTAGGTTCAAAGTTACGGTAGTGTATAATAAGCTACATCTGCCTCTTTACTACATCGTCATCTCAGTCTCACTGTGGAAGCAAACACCAACTCAAGGGCTCACCACCGCAACCACCATCAGTACACATCGTTCACTCTGTATACGTGTGTGTACGAGTGTACGGGTCGTGCCTACCACCACGTCCTCAAAAATTCTCAGGCAAACAAAATGGCAACAACAATCAAAGCCTCCGTCCTCCACGGAGCCCGCGATCTCCGCGTGGTAAGTTAGAAAGGCCCAAGTCAACCGAACCAACCCACCACTCTCCTCTCCCCGTCTCGCCAATCTCCTGTCCTCCCATAAATTTCCACAGACAAGATCACCACCAGACCCAAACACACAAACACTAACACTTTCCCCCCCCTAAAAACAGGAATCCCGCCCCCTCCCCTCCCTCTCCCCAACCGACGTCCTAATCTCCATCAAATCCACCGGCCTCTGCGGCTCCGACCTGCACTACTACACCCACTTCCGCAACGGGGACATCCAAGTGCACGAGCCTCTAACCCTCGGGCACGAGTCCTCGGGCATCATCACCGCCATCGGCTCCAGTTCCTCCATCTCCTCCGATTTCGGTCTAAAAGTAGGCGACCGTGTTGCGCTGGAGGTTGGTCAGCCGTGCGAGGTTTGCGAATTATGTTCTCCTGCTTCTGGTTCTGGGGAAAAAGAAAGCAGATATAACATCTGCCGCGCCATGCGTTTTCGGTCTTCAGCCAAGGGGTGGCCGCAGTTTAGTCATGCACAGGGAACCCTGCAGGAGGTGGTTGCCCACCCGGCAAAGTGGTGCCATAAGTTGCCTGACGCTGTGGACTACACCATGGGAGCGCTGGCGGAGCCGTTGGCTGTTGCTATGCATGCGGCGGGGAGGGCCCAGATTGCCTCACTAGCGGGCCGGCTTCAAGGGAAGGATAGCAGCAGTAGGGCGGCGAAGATCCTTGTATTCGGAGCCGGCGCGGTCGGGTTGCTCTGCGCTGCTGTTTGCAAGTCCATCACCAAGGGGGATGCGATAGTGGTGATTGCGGATATCCAGGCTGATAGGGTCAAGTTTGCGGTGGAGAATGGGTTTGCTGATGCGGCGGTTGTGGTTCCCGTGCCGGAGAAGAGGCCGGAGACGATAGAGGAGAAGCTGGAGTATGCGAAGGGGGTGGCGGAGAGGGTTAAGGCGGCTGAGGTGGTGGAGGGCAGGCAGGTGGGGGAGGTCAATGTTACTTTTGAGTGTACGGGGGTGGAGAGTTGTTTGCAGAGTTCGATTTATGTGAGTATTCTCTCGTTTCTAACTGATAACTCCCCTTTAAGGTGTGGAATGAAGAAAACGGCTAACATGATATGCTCGAAAAAAAAAAGGCGACGGCGCCGGGCGGCAAAATCATGATCATCGGCATGGGTAATCCCATCCAGACGCTACCCATCTCGGCCGCTTCGCTGAAGGAGGTTGATCTCTTGGGCGTGTTTCGGTATGCGAATGCCTATCCGAAGGTGATTGAGCTGTTGGCTAGCGGTGATCCGCATCTGCCTGACCTGTCTAGGCTGGTGACGCAGCGGTATAATGGTCTGGAAAGTATCCCCAAGGCATTCGACATGGCGGCTAGCGTGAAGGACGATGAGGGGAATTTGGTGTTGAAAGTTATGGTTGATATGTAGAAGAGTGGATGGAGGCAAATGGTGTTAGTGTACAGAAAAGAGGAATACAGTTGGATAAAATAAATGAAGACGTGTCAGAGATTTGCTTGAGTTGCGGTTCCTAGAGGCACTGTGGACATTGTAAGAAACATACCTAGCAAACATCCAAGAAAATAGTCAACAGCAAAAGACATGTCTCCCAATAACCACCATCACATGCTATCTTACTTTACCTTTCATTTTTCTATTACCCAGGAAATTACATCACCATCTCAACAAGTCGTCTCCGAACACATTGCAACCTACGACTTATCCGGGAACCCGAAATCAACCCCAAACGGTGGGTAAATATAACGCTGCACTTTGCCCTCCTTAACCAACTGCTCCGAATAATCATTCAGAAGCTTCTGGTCCTCAGCATCCAACTCGATCAACTTGGCGTTAGCCTCAATGCGGTCCGGGTTCGTTGACTTGGGCAGAACGGTGCTTCCACGGTAAACTGTGATTTTGTAAGAAGTCTTGTCAGCACTTCTGTTCCCTCCGTGTGTATTTCCCAAGCAACAGCACACTTTCTGAACCCAGGATAATAACAGGGGAGTAAACGTACGGTGATAACTCAACAACACAGTAGTAGGCTTAACGCCATGCTTCTCAGCAACTTTAACCACCGGCTCGGCGCTCGTCACGGGGCTGCCGGTGCTGCCGAACGGCGAGTACGCCATGATGTGGATGCCCTTCTCCTTGCAAAAGTCGACAATCTCTTGCTGGGGCAGTTGCGGGTGGTTCTCGATTTGGTTGACGGCTGGGACGATGGTGGCGTGGGGGAGGAGTTCTTCGAGGTAGCGCTTGCTGTACTGTTTTTGTTGTGGGTTGGGTTAGCGACCGCCATCATGTAGTCAGAGGTGGTCGTGAAAAAGGGGATGGAAAAGGGCTGGGTAGGGTTTGTATTACATACGTTGGAAACACCAATAGCCTTGGTCTTGCCCGACTCTACCAGCTTCTCCATGTTCTTCCAGATCTGAATGTGGCTGTAGTCGCGAAGGATGTCGCGCTCGCCGTTGGGAAGCTTGGGGAATCTGTCATCGTTGCCTGTTTTTGTTCCCGTTTGTCAGCCATCCATCCATCCAACTAACCACTTTGCCATACCAACTTCTGATGATTTCACTCACCTTCAGGGTTCATCAAAAGCGGCCAATGCTGTCATAACCCAAATCACCACCACTCGTTAGCACCTTCCTTAACACACTTCTCTTCTGCCCAAACTTTACCCCTCACACCACCCCAACAAACAAACGAAAAAAAGAAAAAAAAAAAAAAAAAAAAAAAAAAAAAAAAAAAAAAAAAACATACCACCAAAAACAAATCAACATATTCTAACCCCAAATTCCTCAAACTCTTCTCCAGCCCCACCTCCGCCCGGCTCGCGTACGTCGCCCACAGCTTCGTCACGACAAACACGTCCTCGCGCTTGACGATGCCCTGGTCAAACGCCTCTTTCAGGCCCGCGCCGACGTGCTCCTCGTTTCCGTAGCAGTAAGCCGTGTCGATGAGGCGGTAGCCGGCTTTGAGGGCGGCGACGACGGCGTCTTTTACTAGGGTGGATTCGCCTTGCCAGGTGCCTGTTTAAGTTAGTGGGTTTGTTTGTTAGGAGGGGAGGGGAGCGGAGCGGAGGGGAGGTGGTTCTGGTGGTGTGTAAGGGGAAACTGTGGTCCTGAATTGGTTGGTGTTCCTGAGGTCGGAAAGAGAGGTATCTTACCAAGTCCCAGCGCGGGGATGTCAGCTCCGGTGTTGAGCTTGAAGGTTTTGGTGGCCATGATGGTTTCGGTGGTGGTGGTGGTGGTGGTGAGTTTTCTTGTTCTGTTTTTAACCACGAAAGAGCTCGGTGATGTTGTCGTTGTTGTTGCTGTCCAGCTTCGACGAAGGAGTACAGGAAGTGAAGAAGACAAGAAACGTCTACTTGTACACAGGGTAGCCAGGTTTGGTTGGGACTCCACTAGAAGTTATTATGCCAAGATGGGGAGTATGAGAGGAATGGTGAGAGGGGATTGTTGATCAGCTATATGAAGTTACGCTCGAGATGAGAACCGCATTGGACATTCGGCTAAATGGTAATCGGCGTTGGAGAGTGAGGGGGGTACCTATGGTACCATCTGTTTCGGGGTATTCTTCTTCGAGGAAGCTACCTTGTCCATTCGTTCGTTTCCTTCGTCTTGCCTGTGCCTGCCTAGTAGGTATGTGATCTCTAGATTTCAGATTCCGATTGTAATCCTTCATGGACAAAGTGGGTGGGGGTAATGACATCGACACGCCATTGTGTGACTTGAACATGGTCAACATTAGTTGAAGGATTTCGTGAGACCCGGCACTCGGAACTTCTATCTTTCCATGTTTAGTTAGGACACAATGAAGTTCGGCGTTTTCTTCAAGATATCCGACAGCGTGTTGGCGAAGCATCGACCAGCTCGCCGAAGCTCCAGCGACAATTATCGTCAACATGGCAAGGAAGCTCAACGGATAACGAACGGTCTCTCACCTTACCCCGCTAAACTTGGCCTCGGAGGAACGACTGCCCCTCTGTCGTGTCGTAGGTCGTAGTGAGACCTTGCATGGTGTTTAGCCATCCCCCACCCCCACAGTTTAGTGGTAACGGTGAGTGGATCGTGTCCCCTAACCTTTTCCGGGGCTCAAGGGGAAAGCTTTCCACGGTATCGAAGCTGTTCGAACTGATTGCAGTTCCAGAGACCGGAAAAGTGGAATGCTTGGTCTGATTTACTGCTCTTATTGGTGGCATTTAGCATAGCCGATTTCCGTCGGTTAAGCTCCGTCGACCAGAGAGATGTCCGTCAATGAACCGAGAGTGAACTTCCAGCCTGATCCCTACGCTGAAGTCTAGCTTCCTCAGCGAGGTAGGTATAAATGATCAGGTGCCCCCACCCACCTTTCACAGATACGAGCGTGACAGACGACATGTTGAGCCCTGTACCCTCCAACGTTGTAGAAGTTCAAGTCTTGGAACAATGAACGGATACGGAAAAGCACATGCAAAGAGAACCCGGATTCCTGAGGAAGAGAAATTGTATAATTAATGCATAAAGTCTACAAGAGACGCCTCTGCATGCATTATAAAGAAGAAGTATAGTATTACAGAAACGACGCCGGAACTGCCGTCTATCCGGCAATTAGTACCCAGAGAAGGAAGAAAATCATCTACGGAGTCGCACAGCGTTAGAATTTCATGCAAGACATACGTAACAGGGACAGGAGATTTAGCTTACTAGAACACCAAACATCTTGGCTAATAGCCATCTATTACTTGAAACACGGCTCCAATATTTGAGCAGTTCTTTTTGCGCGCCTTCGACGTTCTCTACCACGTCCTCTCTGCATCGTGGGTTAGAACTGTGTTGGTCTGTCCAAGCAAGACAATGAATGGGTAACTTACGTGTTGGCATCAATTCTTTGAATCATCTCAGACTGTTCGCTGACCATGGCCGCCAGTTGTCCGAAAATGGAACCCAACTCGTTAATGGTCGACTCAATGGCCTCGATCGCTTGCCCTCGTTGTTGGACGTAGGTATTTTGGCCCTCCTCCAACATCTGGAGCTGCATCTGCTGGTCTCCCATCGGGTTCAGCGAGATCAGATCTTGCTGCCCCGGGGCTGGCGTTCCCCTGCTAGGTGTGCCATATAGTGGTGACGCAGACTGTTGTAGGGAGGCATGTGCGTGCTGGCCTACTGACGAAACGAAGTTCTCGGTCCTCGACCTCGACGCCTGGATGTTCTTGGTTCTGATCTCGAGCACGTCCTTGAAATTGGCACCAACATCTCCCAGCTTGCCCTGTAGGAGCAGGAGAATGTTCTTGTTGTTCTCCCCTTCTTGGTCAGGCTTCGGGTGGAGACGCCTAGAGAGATCTTGCAGGTTCCTGATCTTCTCGTTCAACGAAGACAGGTCTTGTTTGATGACAAAAGTCAACTAGCATGACAGTTAGCCAGCCGCACATGGCATTGGGGCGCAAAGATCAAGCGCATAGCTGAGCTCACCTCGTTAATCTCAACGGGCCTGTCATCGAAAAGAGTCTTCTTCTTGGCTAGTTGTGCTAGCTTTTCCAGCTTGGCCATTGTCGCAGAGATGCCCCTTCCAATCTCTGCAGCCCCCCTCGCAAACTCGGACCTCCTTGGCTGGGCATCGCTGTTGGCAGCATGTTGTTGAGCGGTATCGAGAAGTCGCTGCTTTCCTGGCTTTGCGGCCTGCCGACGCTGGGCAGCCGCAACAATCTGTCGGAACTCTTCCGTTCGGTCGTTGATGGCAAAGACAGCCATGATTAGAGGTGTGTTGGTATATAGTAAGGCGAAGAACCGTCCGTTTCCAAAAGCAAATCGCAAGGAATTGGCCGTAGAGGGCGCGTGTACCCCTAAGCGACCGACACGCGGTTGACGTCGTTATCGATAAAGTGTCGGTGCTCGTAAGACAGGAATTGAGACGTCGTCAACTGCGTCAAGATGGACAGAGCGTCGCGACCGGGGGCGGATGCGACTTGTAGGCTGGAAGTGTGCGGAGGAGATTATGGATTGGCAAAGTGGAAATGGACGGATCGCGGCTGGCGAGGAGGTCGGCGGCTCGTCGGGTGTGTTAATTAAAGGTCGTGTGTATGAAAGGCACTACAAGAAGGACTCGCGATGGCGTTATGAATGAGTGGCTTCGATATCGTCGTCGTCGTTGTCGTCGTCGAATCAAATGGTTGGTGTCGTGGTCGTCGATGTTGAACAAGGAATTTCCTCCGTTGTTGTCATCAGCGACGGGAGCTCGATAAAGGGAAAACGTGGTTACTTGGTTTCAGGAGGGCCCGTGACGCTGTGTGGCTCGGCCCCTGCAGTTCAACAGGAAAAGTTCACCGTGCAAGAACTCAAAGCTGATTGAATACGACACTGTGTTTAAGCATGTGCATGTACTGCAGTTGATTGGTCCATCAGTCCTGTCTTTTTAAAAAAAAACAACATCGACGCCTCGGCACTGCGACTCTTTTGTTCAATTGTCCTCTTCGCCACTCTTTGGGAGTACTCAAGCCCCAAAGCCCAAGAAGGAGAGCATTTGCAAGTTATCCGAGCTCTGCGATATGACCATGTCAACATGTTTACGATGATGTGGTCTACCGGAATGGGGCTAAGACGCTTGAATGGCCTCTGTTCCTGGGCTGCTGCATTCTTGATCCACTGAAGCCCATGGACAAGGGGAAGGGGGTACATGAGTGAACGACAGGCGCTTGGAGCGGTACCAGAAAACAGAGGCCTGTCATTGCTGTCAGTGTCAGCAAGGGGGGTGATACGCCATTGGCATCGAGTGAGGCTCTCGTCGGCCGCAACCACAGTACGTTATGTTGGAAATTCGGAGCTAAATCAGGCTGCTAAATTGGTAGAACTAACACATTTGGCAATGACAGATGGGTGGAAGAAGAATGTTGATGGTTTGTCTCATAGCAGGTTCGCGTAATGATGACGCATTCAGGAGTATTTTACAGTACTGACATTCGGACTGCATGTAATCGTCCAGGATCTAGCAGATAAACAAAAGATGCGACATAAAACCCAAGCTATCATTTCTAGAGCCTTTGTTATTCCCTTTGAACTGAAGCTTCACCAATATCAAACACTTACACTACTTTGTGCAGTTCGTAGACACAAAAAAGGAAGCTTCCCTTGCGGCTTGGACCCACGAGTTATGAAGATTCCGTAATTGAATCTCTAACTGCATCTGCGGCTAAGTCTGGTGGCATTCAGTTAGTGCCATTAGTGGAGAGTCTAACAGCCCGTCTCATTAAAGCTCGCCCCACGCCCGCCTGACGTTCCAATGCCTGCTGGGCTGCTGATCCCTGCCCCTGCCGCGGTCCCGGACCACAATCTTCAACAACGGGAAAGAGCAGGGGAATGAATGGATGTCATCTGGTTAACTACCAGCCCAAGTCTTCCAACATTTTTATGTCTGTCTTTTCTAATTCCACTTGAACTTGGAATCGTGAATTCAGTCTCCCTTCTAATTCTCAATCTTCCCATCCGGCCGTTTTCCACCCTCGACTTTTCCTTTGCGACAGTTCATCAAGCATTTGCGCATCCATTTCCCCCTCTGGTTATCAATCTATTGCGCTACTTTTCAACTAATTAATCGGCCGGCCAACCGACCAACCATCCACCACCATCCACCACCACCGACCTAATCTTGGGCATCTGCCTTGCCTCTCTCTACGCTCCTCGAAACACACCTTCGTAACTGTTATTCGGATTCTCGAGGATCTCGCCCGCAAGAAATTAGGGGATACGCCAGGCTGCAGGAGGGCTAGTTTACCTTGAAATCGTCTGACACTCGGTTTCCATCCCACGTCTTCCATCCGACTCGATAGCGCCACCTCGACACCTGGCTGTACATATCGGCGCATGCCACAGCGACGCTCATCACCATAAAGAGCAACGGCCAATGCCATGGACGGGACATACGGGAACATCTTCCCGACAAACAACAACCCACTGTTAGTTGCCCTGCTCCTAGCTTGCCCCTTTCCATGATGCCCGAGCAGGTCGCTTCTCAGCCCGCAGTTGCTAAACGCCCATCCGACACCACACACAGAAACCCCGGCGCTCCGAATTCGAACAACAAATACCAAATCAACGTCAACCGCTCAAAGACGAAAAAATGGGCCAACTTCAAGCCACAGAACTACGACGGTGATGATTGGGGAAGCGATGAATACGACGATGTTGACGAGGAACCTCCATCCGCCCTTCGGCAGCCTGTTAAGCAGTACAAGCCATATACACCAGCATTGCATCTACAAACTCAGCAACCGCCAGCTGCTCCCTCGGGCCGTATCGCTCAGATGGTAGCCGCCTCTTCCACGCCAGCGACACCGAATGCTCTGCAAAGAGCGGGCACCTTTGGACAACCCCAATTCGATGCGCCTCCGACCAGTTCACCCGTGGTTGGAGGTAAACAGGCTCTTCCGTCCATGATGCGCGTGGCTACGATGCCCCAGAATGTCGGCCCGGCCTCTACACAGTTTCCACCGCGCAAGAGCAGCATGGGTCCTCGCGAGATACCGGACATGACTGACCCGACCCGCCAATCCAGGTCTACCACTTGGGCCGTCCCAACGCAAAGACCGTGGTCAGACGCTCGATCAGCCTCCCCCAACGCCAGGTCCCCGGTATCACCTAACAAGCCGCTGCCCCTTCCCCGACCTACTGATAGATATCGACGAATGGGCGAGGACAACAACGCGGGGCTGCAATCTTCGGGATCCGTAAACCAGGGACAGCTGGGTAACGGGGCTCACACTGCGGGCCTAAACTCGGGACCAGGTCACCAGGAACGTCGAGGTAGTGCAGCAGGCAATGAAGGTGGTGATAACTCGTGGGGTCGGAGGCCAAGTCTAGCTCCAGTGATGGAGCGAAACAGCGAGTATGGGGCCGAAGGAATGCTCGCCGGGCCTGCGTCGAAGGAGTCTGGTGTCGAACCTGTCGCTTTTGGAGAAGAAGAGGACAAGGTTCGGCGGTTCTCGACAAGTCCCAAACTGCCGGATCTGACACGCTTGTCGGGGTTCGGAGAAGATCTGTTTTCTACTCGGTTTTCGGTTCTAGCGCCTCAACTGGCTTCCATTCCAGACATCTCGAACCCTTCTAGCCCAGCAAAGGCTCCTGAACCAGAAGGGATCTCTACAGACGAACGTGCCGAAAAGGGTGGTAACTCGGAAAACGGTATCGTTACACCGGCAAATCCCAGTGTGGCGCCTACCTCACTGCCAGTCGCCGAACCTATGTCTACCGCACAAGCGCCACCACCTTCTACCTCTATTGGGGGTGCGGCAGTGTCTGATGCAACACCGCAGTTGGCACAGAAAGCCATTCGCTCTCAATCACCGCCTGACGAGTCTGTTGGGCTGCGGTACAACCAAGACGATGCTAATGAATCCCATGCAGTTGCTAACGCTCCTCAACAACTGCCATCTACGATGGAAACGCCACAGGAAACGATTTCATCTGATATGGACAAACAGCCTGTTCGCCCGCGCCTTCCAGGTGGTTGGGTAACCGAAACATTATCCACGCCAGGAGAAACTCCCCCGCCTGCTCGTAACGAGACTTTTTCGAACATGACGAGCAACTTTCCCCAGCCTCCAAGTGCGTCACTCGTCGCCAAATCCCATGCTGATGCTGAACGTGCGTCAAACGGCGGTCAGTCTCAACAGCACGACCCAAGCGAAACGAGTGAAGCAGCTATCGAATCCTCCCATTCGACGTCTGATAGAGAAGCTGCTCAGGCAACACCCACCTCAGATAAGGACATTCACGCAAGTCTTGCACCGACAATGGAACCTTCAAAACACCGGGACATAACTCCGACTGCGCCGTTAAACTTTAACCGTGGCTTGCTAGGGAGCAAGTCTGCCGAGCCACTGCACGTGCTACCTTCGCCAAACATGGGTGGTGGCTCGACCTTGAATACACCCGGCGATTCTCCACTCAAAGAAAGTGACCTGCTCAGGGATGAGATAACCAAGTTTTTGGGTGACCCTGAGATATCTGGCAGCTTTCTGGATATTTCCCGGTCATCGACAACACCAAATCACCCTGTTGCAGATGCTACCCGGGAGAGCAGCTATTTTGGAGATGTCTACGGTGACTATTTTGCTGCGAGCGAGGACAACCAAAGTCAAACCAAACTGGGGGCTACCACGCAACCAGCCGCAACAGATACACTTACACCCGTGGCGGCTGGCACGTCAAAGGCTGTTGTTGTAGCGCCTCTCTCTGTTGCTACCTCTACAAGTTCTGGATCTGGTGCTGCTACTTCGGTGTCCAAGCAAGATCCGACTGGGGAAACGGCTGGGGCTTTTGAGTTGCGGCGTCGCTTTTCCTGGGAAGGACCGTCCGAGCAGGACGCCTCAAACGCTCCTGAAGTGGATCCTGCATACCATGTCGAGCAAAAGTCCCGGACCTCTGGCCCTGATGGTGTTTCTTTGGCTTCTTCGACGCCAGCTGCAGAAAAGATCGGAGAAACAATGGCACTCACGCTGTCGAATGCCGACGAGTCGCTTCCTATTCCGACCGAAACTGAGAACAAGCCGGCTCCAGAAGCATCGGGTGGGATATCTCATGACGTATCAGAAGTCAGCACGCTTCCATCAAGGTCAATGTTAGAGCCGGCTTCTCCCATCTCTGCTGGCTCAGATGAGGCTGAATCCCGCCGTCGGGCGCTCTCCTTGGCTCAAGATCAGGCTCTTCCTCAACCTTTAGACCAGCATCCCGCTTTTGGGGAGAAGGCTTCCATTCGCCGTGGATCATCGGGACCAAAAGACCCGGTCAATATCATATCGTTTCGACAAATTATGGATATGCCTTCATCATCGGATCGACTCAAGCATTACAACGAAACCCGACTGCAATTTGCCGCTATCGACACCGGATTGGAGGAGTGGCTCCTGGCTATGAAATCCAAGTATCCCGAACACTCGAACGCTACGTCATCCTTCAAAGACTCATTGACGATACCTGTTATGTCAATGGATAATCAGCAAAGCGGAGAGGTTCTGTCACTTCAGCAAGGCGGGCGGCCAGGAACCAACATGCCAATGCCGCCATCGTTGCCCTACGGGCACTCGGGCTTCGCACATTCTAGCCAGCAGGTTGGGACCAAAGGCAAAGAACTTCTTTTTGCAGCTGGCAAGGCCGGGAAGGGTCTGCTCAGCAAGGGAAAGAGCAAGTTGAGGGGAACCGGCGACAAGGTTTTCTTCTAGGTTTCCGTCTCATCTTCGTCGGCACGTGGTTCTGCTTCGGTTTAGTCTTGATTTGGCTTTTAGCATTACTGGGACTATTCTCCCATCTAATGAACTCTTTTCGATTGGGCGTGGCCTACTGGGTTGTGGATTCTGACAGAGCACGCAATCCGGACCGCAGACATTCTATACATCTGACACGTAACGGATTGCCATTTCTACCACGCGGTTGATTCCGAATTTCTGTTTGGCATACTACGGGCCTACTGCGATGTATTATCATATTGGGGCGGTTTGATATGTAACATGGAATTCCATGGAGGTGTTGAGGCTGCTTTGTTGACAATACAGATCATGTATGAAGGGAGATAGTGATGGCAGAAAGCTTGTGTGCCCATTGCGAGATTGGATGTCAAAGATGGTGCAAATCACAAAGTTATAGGGAAATTCTTTGCCTTGATGAGCCAGCCAGCCACTACATGCATCATATCCTCAGATGTCACAGTCGATCTTCCACAGCCCCAGCGGTCGACTTCCATTCCTCTTCCATTCTTCCATCACGAAACGATGAGCAGCATGGCGTGCCGCATTCCAGTTGCACAATGACATCCAGACGTCCACGGAATCCAGTTCTCCAGATTCCAGTCGATTTGTAGGGCCGAGACTGGCAGATTTCCCGTAGCCCAGCATGGTGGCCCAGCGTTGTGCTCCCCCAACTTCCCTAGACCACGTTCCTATCAGACTGTCCATTGAGTGAACCGGTGCGTTCCAGCTCGTGCAGGGCACTTCGATTGTCACACACTGGCCTGCCCGCTTCGGCTATGACCCTGGCAAGCCTGGCTTATGTATCCCTCTTCTGATCCTGTCATCAGCTCGCTAACTGCAATGTTTACTTGGAATGCCCAATCTTCACTGCCTGAAACTGTAGCGGATGCTGTATCATCACTGCAATTACGAGGCCATGGGAGCCATAGCGGAAGGTGACCGTAGAAGGCCATGGGGATCTCATCCGCCATGAACATATCGCTGGACCGAAGGGATGAAGCGCCCATCTCAGCCCAGCAAGCCCAGAGAATCCTTCAGGCCCCTGTCGACCCTAACGGGCATGCACGGCGTGTTGGTGCTTCAGTTCCCGGACCCCTGTCCGAAAGAGACGATGGGGTGGACTTTGACCAGGAGACCTTGCTCCCGCAATTTCAGCACCTGCAGCGTCTCCAGAAATCTTCAGGCCGGACCGCGTCTGCCTTGTGACTTGTCTCTCACCTTTCCCGCCTCAGCAGTTCCTGACCTTGACGCGCAATTCTCTCTTCACTTCTACGTCCATCTCTCACCTTGCCGAACCTCTGCCAAAAGACACATATCAATCAACATAACCGCAATCCCAGAGACGCGAGCCTTGACTGATGTCAAGGGTTGATCGCTAGCCACCGTAACAGCCGACTTGAGCTTGTATCGGGAATCCTCTCAAGACCACATACACCCACACCGTATGAGTCGGAGCTCAGCAGCAGCATTGACACCAGATCAACCGACAAACAACACGTTCCTTCTACTTCTCTCATCATAACCTCAACACAAATTCAAAGTCCGGGTTGTTCATCCAGAACGAAGCTACCCCACGCGCGAGTGCAGTTCTACCGAAATCATCACCTCTAGGCCCAAGCTCCTCGGCTGCTGGTGCCGTTGACCGGGAACGAATCGAGTGTGGAAACCGCGTGCTGGGGGGAACGCCCGAGAAGCAATTGTGGGAGAAGGACGTGGATGTAAAAACTGGTGATAGTCTGAACATCGAGAAGTAAGACGACAGTGACAGTTACACGACCTGCGTTGTCGTCTCACAGCGATCTGACTCGGACTCCACCGCTATCTGTGCTCGTCCATAGCCAGGAGAGCCTTGCTGACATTGTACTGACCAAGAAGTTGCACCTCCACGCGACACATCGTCGGCCTCACCTCTCACATGGCAGCTCACGGCCAATACTATACGCATTCGGCTGGAAACCAATCGCAGCAGGTCTACTTCCACCCACAGCAACCGCAATATCAGCAACAACAGCAGCAGCACCAGCAGCAGGGCCACGCCCCGCAGTCGCATTCCCAGTCGTATTCAACGTCCCAGCCGCAGCCACAGCCTGATGATACCAATGCGCCGAATCGACATCCATCTTTTATAGGGCTGCCTCCAATTTCTCGAGCATCCACCTTTTCATCTCTACTGAGACCCTTCCAGATCGAAGGTTCTGCCGGCGACAACAATAACACATACAGTGACGCCGACGCTACCCCGCGAAACTCAACCCAGTATCAACAAGGGCAACAACAAGGTGGACAAACCGTTGTCACAACCCCGCAAACTGTGTCTGAACCCATTTCCATGGCTACGAACCAGACTGCCGGTGGTGTACAACCACCGCACGGCCAGTTCACGACCCAAACACCTCCACCAGGCCAGTTCATCCAAAATATGTATCGTCCAAATCAAAGTCCGGCGCAGGGTCAAATGCAAATCCAAGGACAACCATTACCCAATGGTTTCCCATCACCTCCTAGTACTGGATCCGTGCCTGGTCAATCGCCGGTCCAGGCCCAGCCAGGTCAACCCAGTCCACCAGGCAACGCCCAGGGGCAACCCGGATCGGCCCCGGGAGCACCCGGGGCTCCCCTCCCTGTCATGATGCCTCCTCCTCACTTGGCAGGAAGGTTCCCGCAAGGAAACTGGAACTTGCAGGAGTCTCATTTGTCGGAGCCACTACAGCCCACGAATCGTCACCGACACTCGTCTAGCAATGCATCACAGCAACCCTTCTATGGTTTCGACAAAGAGACGGGCGTTCCGGCATCGCCACGGAGCCAGAGGGCTCCAGAGGCAGAGCAGCAACCACAAATCCAGCCGGTAGACCAGAACGGCCAAGGCCCGCAACTCAATGGCCAGGACAACTCCGGGAATCTCATCGAGCAGCGTCCGCGCGGGAAGTCGTTGTCACAGACAAATACGGACGTGGATGACCTACCGGCACCCGGTCCGATCCCAGCTGCCGATGGGAACAGGGCAAGGCGAAACTCGGGTATCTTCTCGAGCCTCCGCAACAGGGTTGGGGCGGGTACTCCGGTCACAAGTGACGCAGTTTCCGATGCCAGTGTCATGACGGACGAAACAGGAGGACAGCAGCAGAGACGCGCCCAGATGTTCAGTGCGCTAGGTGCCGCAGGCGCAACGGAGGCTCCTCAAAGTAAGGAAAGCATCATTGCTCATGGCAGCACCACGCCCGTGAATGGCGGACTACAGTCACCCCCTCCTCAGCACCAGCAGCAACAGCCGAAGAAAAGTAGAATGGGCCTTAAGGCCATGTTCAGCCGGTCATCGCAGCAGGATGTTTCCCGACCTTCTGGAAGCGCGCAGTCAGCTAGGCCTACGACGCAGGGTCAAGCTCATGGTCAGCATCAGGTACAACAACCCGTTGCTATGAGTGGCGCCAACCCAATGTATCCTCTGCGACCAAAGACTTCGGGCCAGGTTCCCCCTCAGCAACATCAGTCTCTTGCCTCTATTGCCGAATCTGAAAAGGCTAGAAAAGCCTCTGGTGGAATATTTGGCATGTTTAAGAACAAGGACGCAAAGCCAGTGCCAGGTACCGGGGCTGGCCAGCCGCTCATGGACCCCAGGCAGACGCTACAAGGTATGGGACGAGGACAAATGGCAATGCCACCTCCTGGGCAAGGGCAATTCCCACAACAGCAGTATCGTCAACAGTTCCCAGTTGGTCCTGATGGAAAGTTGCTGATCTTCCCTGGTCAACTTCCTCCTCAACATCAGCAGTTCATGCAACAAGGTCATCCAGGCATGCATCAGCTGCAGCAGATGCAGATGCAAGGGCAAATACCAGGGCAGCAACGACCCCAGATTAACATGCAGCAGTCTCAGCCTTTGTTGCAGGGTCAAAATGGAGGTCCACAGATTCAGCCGCAACAACAGCATCAGCAGCAACTCGACACTCGTCAGGGTCAAAATAATGGCCAAAATGTGGTCTCTACAGGTCCTGTCAGCCCGCCAGTTGCTTCTCCCGCACCTTCAGATACTCAATCCGTAGTAGAACAGTCTCGTCCCCAGCAAAATACACCTCCCGCCACCAATGGACAGGCGCCTCCGGCGGCAACGAACGGAGGCCACGCCCGGACGTTCTCTCAAGGCAGTAACTTACCCAACACGTATACTCTCGGCATGAACGGTAATCAGCCAAATCAGTTGCCTGCGCGAAAGCCGGTAGGGTCCAGGGTCGTCTCAGCTCAGATCCCTCCAAGTCTTATGCCACAACAACAGCAACGCCAAAGGGGGGCTTCGGTCTCCTCAACTCAACATCCTCAACCTCCTCGACCCCAGAGTCCGCCGAGCATGCAACCCCCGTCAAGCTTGGGAACCCAACGCCCTTTGGATTCTCAGCACACTTTGGCATCCCAAGGCGGAAAGTCTCTTCCCGATGTTCCCACCTCTGCGCAGCGGGCGGATCAACAAAGCTCTGGTGCACAAGACCAGCAAAACCAAGGACCGGGTCGCCAGCAACAATCACAGCCACAACCTATGCCAGCTGGCCCGCAGAGCCTTGGTCAAGGCATTCCCAACCAAATCATCCCTCCCGCTGGCCATTCACTATCTCACGCGGCAACTATGGGGCCTGGCTTTCCGGCACAACAACCACAACAACCTCAGAGACCTCAGCAACCCAGCCCCGGTTTCCCCCCTCGGAATGTCATGACTACAGCCCCTCCGCCCAAGGAGAAGGAGCAGAGCACTATTTCCAAGCTTTTCAGAGGGACTAAACAACAGACCCCGCCAACAACCTCTCAGGAGAAAGGGAAATCGTCGTTCATGAGCGCTTTGAAACGGGGCGGCAATACCAAGCAAGGAGAGGCCCAACCAAGGTCTCAGCCCCAGTCGCCTCAAGCCAACCAAGGACAGTTCCAGCCGAACCAAGCTCAGATGCAGCAAGCACAAAGGCAGCCAGGTTTGCAGCCTCCTCAAAGCCAGCTGCCGGGACAACCGCAACAGCCGCAACAGCAGCAACAACAGCAAGAGTCACGACCGGGACTGGGAGAACGACGGTCAAGCCCGCATTTGCAGTATCAACATGAGAGGCAGGATCCGTCCAAAGCCCCTAGCCCACCGGCACAGGCAGATCTGGCCATGCGCCCACCTGGGCAGCAGTCATCGCAGCAGCCTACCCGGCCTACCCGTCAACCTGTTACATCCGCTCCTGGCGCTCCCAATCAGTCTACACCTGTGCCCCAGACAATCCAACAGCCGCAACAAATGGTTCAGGGACAGCCAGGCCCAACCCCAGGTTTGGTCCAGGGGCAGGGACCGGTGCCAGGACAGCCGTTGCATCCTAACCAGATGGCAGGTCAAGCTCAGGCTCAGGCTTTCGCTCAGCAGCAGTTTTTCCAAGCGCAAGCTCAGGCCCATGCGCAGGCCCAGATGTTTCAAAGGTTCCAACAACAACAAGTCCAGCTTGCTGCTCAAGGCCAAGCCCCTCGCCCAGGTCAGCCTCCAGCCCAAGGCCAAGGTCAAGACCAGAATCCAGCGACATCTGCGCCTCCAGGTCAAGAGCCTCGGTATGCCCAGGTGCCCATTCCAGCCGGTTATTTTTCTGTACACCAGGGGATGGCACAAACTCCTTCGCCCATGGGCATGCCGATGCCGTATTTCATAAACGTTCCTGGCCAGCCGCCGCAAGGCTATTTTATGCCGATGCCAGGGCAGATGATTCCCCCGGGGATGCCCGGAATGCCGCAGATGTTGCCTCCTGGGTTTGTTCCCGGTCAACCTTTTATGTATGCTCATCCCGGCGGTGGCCCAATGCCGCCACCTGGACCTCCAGGAAGCGTACCCATGGCTGGACCTCCGGGAAGCATGCCCATGGCCACGCCTTCTTCCGCTGGTGGCACCCCCTTCTTTACACCGCCGACCTCTCATGGAGGACCTCAACAAGTGTTCCACGTTCCCGTACACCCATCATCTCCTCCGCCGGGCAGTGAGCATTCTGGACAGCATCCTCCAAGCATCTCGCCTACTCCTCCGCCGTTTATCGGAACATCAAGACAGGCTAGCAACGTTTCTCCTCAACCTCAGTTGCAGTTCCAGCAGCCACCGCCGCAGCCATCGCCCTCTCCGCCGAACTATCCCCTCCCGAACACGCCTTTCTCTCCAGTGAATCCGGACGCGGCGAATGTTCTCAACCCACCGCTTCCCGTGAGCGAACCACTGCAGCAGCAGCAGCAGCAGCAACAGCAGCAACAGCCTAACCCGGGTCTTTTCATCCCCCAACGACAAGTCAGCCAAGTCAGCGCCATGTCCTCCCTGCAGCCCAGCAACGGATCGCCTTCGATGAACGTGATTTCGCCCATCTCGAACGACAGCGGAGTGACGCAGATTCCCGAAGGAGGACAGCAGCAACTTTCCCGTTCCGGATCCGCGGCTCTTCCTCCGGACTCCAGGACCGTCAGCCCGGAACCAGTTAATGTAGCCCAGAGACTTTTTGGTTTGAGGATTGATGAGGATGGTGGTGATGACGATAAGGACAGCAAGAAGGGTGAGAACGACGACCACCATCATCCGTGGAACGGAATCGCCACGGACAGTGACTCTAGGGCAGTTAGTCCGGAACCACTTTTGGATGAACATGGGCCTATGACACCGCCGCCTACCACGGTTAGCTTCATCCGCGCGCAGGCACAGGAGGTCCATGTGCACCGGTCGCCGGATAGGCATGTTGGGGAGAATAATATATATGATGCGACGCCGAGACAGTCGATTAAATCACCTGTCCTACTGCAGAGGCGCAACTCTGTGGATGAGGAGGAGGATGAGCCTGCTCTGCTCGAGTCTCAGAACGAGGATTCAATAGCTGGCTTCTTCGAAAAGAAGGTCGATGGTTTAAGTGATATCCGTGAGGAGTCTCCCGAAAAGGGAAACAGCTATATCATCATGGCTCCTCCTGTCGAAGATGTTCATGACGAAGTCGAGAAAGCAGCTGCGCCAGCTCCAGCTCATCAAGCGCTTGTCGTCGAAAACGGGGAAACCAACCACGGGAAACCTGTCGGATTAGAGGAGGATGAGAAGGAGGAGCCAGTTCTTCCAAGCCAGGTCGAGCATAGCAAGCAGCAGCAGCAGTCACCCAAACCTCAACCCCAGCCAGAAGCCTCTGCACCAGTCCCAGCAGCGCAGCAACAACAACCCATCATAATCTCCCCCTCCCCCTCCCCCACCCAAACCCCCGAACCCAGCAAGCCGCAGCAACTCCACCATCAACAACCGCAACCCGACTCCTCAAACGGCGTCATCACCACCGCCTCCGGCTTCCTCATTTCCTCCTCCCCCTCTTCCAACCCCACCCCGGATAACCCCAAAGGCATCCACATCAAACCCCTAACCGACCGCTCCATCTTCGAAGAAGCCAAGCGCAAACAATTGCTCAGGGAGCAAGAGGAGAAGATTCCTGTGTTTTCGGATGATGATGATTACATCATGAATCAGAACAATGGGGCGAATTTTGCGGCGGGAGCGGCGGGGCAGGGAATGGGGAATAAGAAAAAGGAGGATGATTTGGATGCTGTGCCGATGATGAGTGCTACGAGTTATCCCGGGCAGGAGTGGAATCCGTATGATTTTGGGATGGGGGGAGGGGATGGCGGGGAGGGGTGGGAGGATTGAGATTTGAGAGCGGGTGGGTGGTTGATGGTGGTTTGAGGTGGTGGTTGAGGTTGAGGTGGTTTGGGTGTTAAGTGCCTGTGGGGTGAGATGATGGGAACGGAGAAAGGAAGGAAGGAAGGCAGGAACGTGAAAAAAAAGTAATGACTGAGGAGGGAAGAAAGATTTTACAAACACTCTCTGGTTCATATTCCAGGGATACATACCTGTACCGTATTTATTCTCCATGTGCCAGACCACAAACCGACGGACATACGTATATACGTCTTCTTCGCATGTATCTACAAGTAAAAGGCACATTGTTTATACCCATCTTCGCTTCTCTTACTGCTTTTTAGTTAATGCATTTGCATCATTCAGAAATTTACTTTTGGTTTCTCTAGTTCTAGACTCTCTCGGGTTTTGTACCTAGACTAAATACTATAGCCGGTTCTCGAAAGGTTAATACATAAACAACAACTCCTTCCTTCATCTACACGTTTAAAAAAAAAAAAAAAAAAAAAAAAAAAAAGCTACACCGCCGCCAATGATTGAGCTCCGATCAAGTCCCACTGATGTTCACGATATCAAGTGGGGACCCCGAGACTAGTACCTGACTAAGTGCCTAGCTGAGCTGAGCTAGCCAAAACTGAAAGACCCTGGAGGAAATAAATGAAAGAAAATGGCGGGCAGGCAGGCCACGCGACATCGTGACAGGGGCTATAGGGAATGGAGAAAAGGGGTATGTATGTAGGTACATGTTCCTTACTTAACCCAGTCGGTTTCCTTTTTTGTTGAGTTTGGTTTGACTCTGAAGTCTGAGAGTCGGTGAGCGGAACAATTTCCGCAAGAGCGCAAGGAGTTGGGCGGTCATGTCCGGACAACTACCTAGGTATTAACGATGAGAGGAATAAGACGTACAAGCCGATTAGGTTACAAAAGGTTAGTATGCACTTTTGTGTCAACATCTTGCTGTTCAGTTTGTAAATGAAAAACATTTGACAACTGCTGAACCAGAAACCTTTTTATTCCAGGACGGTTCATGATTTATGCTGAAGAGTGTAAAAACTGGCTGATCTGTGTGTTCACTCGGATCCTCCAAGTTTATTTTCACCACATGTGCCTAGCTTAGTTCCCGGACGAGCACTTTATCTCTTGGTTCTCCTGCCCTCATATCTGCTCCCTTCCTACTAAACCCAAACTAAGTATAAGTAACGACAAATTGAAAAAGGCAAAAGTACATGCGAGGAACGAGCGTGTGTGGCTTTTGAATGACCCGATTAAGTTTGTATATATCCTTCTTTCCATCCTTCCATTTCCTGCCAGTGGCATGGCGTGGCGTACGTGTAGAAGCAGCTCCCCCCAGCCTTTCATCCCTTTCATCTTTGTGGTTTAAAGAATTTCCATCCCACCCATTATCAGGTTTGTAATCCAAATCCCCCGTTTTCTCCGTATGTTTGATGGGGTGTGTGTGAGAGAAATCGCCGCCCCATGCGGCTTCGGTATCATATCATACAAGTGTGCTCGATATGAAAAAGAGCAAGAAAAAAAAATACGACTAGCCTGAACCGGAACGCCCAATATTTTCGATGTTGCGCCTTCCAAAATGTGTGAACCAAAAACAGCTTAATAAAAACAGCTTAATAAAAACAGAAGCGAAGAAAAAAAAAGCAATTTCAAAGCGATAAAGTAGTAGCACTTCTGCGTCTTGCCATCACAGAGGCTTTGGGAATCTAAGCTGTGAAAGCTCCGGGTATCGTCACAGAGGGTTCCTTTGGTTCCTCAGTTGCTGGCTCGACCTCGGAGGTGACAGGCTGCTTGGGGGTATCTTCGGTGGATGGCGGGGATTGGGTAATTTCCGCTTCATGGAACTCAAACTTGTTAGCGGGGGTCTTGGGCAACTCCGAAGCTAGCTTGGCCTCTTCGGTAGGTCCCTCGATGTCCTCTGCAGGAGCCTCGACCATTTGTTCAATGACTTCGGCCTTCTCTTCAGACACTTCGCTGATGGCAGTAGGCACCTCAACCTCTTCTACAGGCGCCTCTTGCTTCTCCGCGGTCTCGGGTTGGTCGACAGGCTCCGGGGCAATATTGGAAGTGGGTTGCTCAGGCACCTCGGGAACTTCCGTTTCCGAGCTCTCCTCTTCGATCGTCGGTGCCACCTCCGCCACGGATACCGCCGGTTGTTCAACTTCAACAGCAGCGGGCTTCTCATCTCCATCCTTGTCAGCGTCGAGACTCGTCCTGGGGCTCTTGGCAGCCCGAAGACTAGGGGCTCGACTGGGTGCCCGACTATGGCTTGTTTGGAAATGGGTGATCGGGAGCACACCACCACCAATACGGCTCCAAAACATCTGCTCCCGTAACCGTACGCTTTCGGCCCATGCTGCCTTCTCCGCATCCTCGTCATCCGCTCGCCAGTGACCGTCCTTGACTATGCGAAGGAATCCCAGGAAATCGCATGTTGATCGGACTCTGGACAGGCAATACTTGCATAACGCATATCCAGTTTGCGCGGAACCGGTTTCGCTGATCCGGAATCGATGTTTCCGAAGAAATTCCTCCTCTGGCCTGGACTCCCCGCAGAGAGAGCACGGGCTCAACTCGGGCCTCGAGATCCTGCCGAACCTGCTATATATTGTGGCAGCTGGGACTGGCTCTACTACAAGCGAGCCGTCAGTCATCGCTGCAAGGACACTCCTCCGGGCAAGCCAGGAAAGCCCTGGAGCGGTATCGAGCCGAAGTGTTGGTTCAATGTCCTCGGTTAGGGTCCTCTTGTAAAACTTGGTATCCTTCAAGGCCGGAAGAGGGATGGCAGCGGCGCCAGGGCTGGCGGTAACGACCGATGCGGGTGTAGCGGAAGTTTGGGAGAAGGTCGATTGGGCAGTTGCGATGGTCGAAAGAGAGGTGCTGGAGACATTGGCGAGCGCAAGATGAGCACCTACCGATCCTAAGCCCAGGCCAAGAGACGTGAGTGCGGAGCCGGTAGAGGGTGTGGGTGCGCGCTGGGCCTGGGCAGAGAGCCTCTTGGATGTGCGGATGAGATCTTTGAAGTCGTTGTACGATGCTAGGTCGGTACGAAATACGGGCTTCAAGAGATGAGTAAAACTGGTAGGATACGAAGGAGACATGGGCTCGACCACGCTGTGTTGGCGGTTGTGCTGGCCATGGTGTAAGCGATCGGAAAGGCCTTCCTCATTTTGTAGCTCAAGGAACTTGCTGAAACCTGGAGAAGAAGGCGCGGTTGGAGGTATCTGCTCGTCCTTCTCGGCGCTCATGTCCTCCATGAGGTGCTTTAGCTCGGCTAGTTGCTCCTGCTGTGACTTGAGTAATCCCTCGGTATCCACGAGTTGTGCCCTGAGCTGGTCGTTCTTCCGTTGCAGTATCTCCTGCTCGATCCTGGCCTCTTCCTTGGCGGAAATAACCATTTTGTTGGCTTCCTCGAATAGGGCGGCTGTTAGGTTCTCCAACTCCTGTTCGATTTTCTTCTTTTGCTGTTCCACATCCAAACGAGCCTGCTTCTCTTCGGCAATGACTCCCAGCAGAGTTGTCTTTTCCGCTTCGACCGTTTTCCTCCGTACCCAAACATCACCAGCCAGCATCTCCCTTTGCTCTTCCACTGTCCTTTCGAGTTGCCTGATCTTGTCGCGTGCCTGCTCTAGCTCCATTTTGGTGTGCGATAGGTTATCATCCAAGGTGGTCTGGTGGTTGATTGCGTTAATCAGTTTCGTGCTGAGGGTGGCCACCTCCTGGTCGAGATCGGGATGGTGATGACTGGTCATGGAAATTCCGCTTGCGGGGCTCATAGCCCGGCTTCGGGGATCGGGGAGGGTCGTCAATTCATTTTCATTATCGATGGGCTGCGGGGAGAAAGGTCGTCTAAGGCGAGGGGTCGACGGCGCTGCATTGGCAGAGGCTGGCTCGCTTACGGATGGTAGTTCGGGTGGTGCATCGGAAATCGAGGCCCTCGAGGCGCTGTTTCGGCTGAGGATGCTGGAGAGAGATCGGGTGTGGCTTTTGGAGAGGCGTCCGTTGGCCGGTATCGGCATCTGGTGCGAGGACCAGCCCGTCACAGTGACAAAGCTTTTCCATAGTCCGTTAGTGGTGGAGACGGCAGCCATGTGAGATCTTGTAGGGATAGATGTCATCGAGGAGAGCCTCGAGGGCAAGTGAGTGGAAAGTCTAGAAGAGGGCAGGGGACTTACGAATCCAGCTTATCGGTGTTGGTAAGGACCACACCAGGGACTGGCGGGTCCTGTAAAGGAGAAGCTGGAGCAACAGGGAAGGGCCTAGGCGGCGGCGTTATGCTTTCCGACTCTATCGCTGCGTGCAACGGGCGCACCGGGCCTGCGTCGGTCGAGGAATGCTGCGCACACAGCTATATGAAGCAAACGGGAGTGTCGCAAGGATGGGAAGTCGCGTGGTGCGCTGAATGGAGTCGGTACGGGAAATTGAGTGTCTAGTGGTTGGTGGCTTGTATAACGTCGTTCGGTAGACAAAAAGTCGCTTAATGGCAAGCCGAGTATGGCAATCTGTAAGACGGAATGGAAGCGAAAATTAATAGTTGGAATAGGTAGTTGGGGTCCGGCGGCTGCGGGTGTTGTTGGTATGGACAGGACAAGGAGCAAAGAATGGAGCGAAAAAGGACGGACAACAAGCAGTCAGGAGGGAGCGGATGGCAGATGAGCGACAGATGACAGATGATGGATGATGTGTGTGGCAGCAGATGGAGCGAAAGTCCAAGTGCAAGTCCAAGTGGAAAGTGGAAAGTGGAAAGTGGAAAGTTTGTCGGGGATATGCGCGTGGATAACGAACGTTATGGCGCAGAACAGCACTGCAGCGCTGCAGCCAGCATTCCACTTTGCAATCTCGAATCCACCGGGCTGTATCGGTACTAGTACGGAGTAGGTACGGATCCGTGGTCTGCGACTTCCAGGTAGTGGCCGGGCTAGCGATTGTCATTAATTTGTGACTGCGTTTGTTGCAAGACAATTGTCATTGGCGCCTTCCGTGTTTCCCAGCCAAGTCGGTTCTTGGCTCCTTGCAGCATGCGCTGTTTACCCACGGGCGAATGGCGTCAGGCCAAGGTACCAAAATGCTTGAAGCGTCGGTGCCGAGAGCTCAGCTTTTGATTCCATTTTTTTCTTCCGCCGTCCTGGACTCGCTCGCATCGTGGCCAGGAGCTCCTGAACGAGGGATCTCCGGCCCAGTCCACCATGTCCCGAACTGGTTAGCAGCTCCCAGATCCTGACCGGGGGCTTCCGGTGGGGATCTCGGCCTCCCCTGGCGCTGGCGGCACCTGCGATGGGATGGGTCCAGACAAAATCCACTCAATCACGGAGTGCCGGCCGTGCGTGGTGCGTTTGGTCTCGTCTCGAGCTCCCGCCCGTAGTAACCGTAAATGACAAAGTCCCTTTGCTGTTTTCCCAACAACCTCACACAAGCCATGTCAATGTTCGGACCCAACGAACGAGACGACCGCTGTACCTGACCCTTTGATCCTTTGCTGCCGGTTTATCGTGCAGTGCAGCGCAGTGCAGCGCAGTGCAGCGCAGTGCAGCGCAGTGCGGTGCAGTTAGCTGCGTGTCCTTGACCCCCTTGCGTTACGCTGTTGCGGGGAAATGAGACCCACAACATAGTAAGCCTCACTGACTAGGCTGGTTACATGCAGCGAGCGAGCATCAGTAAACCTGATCAGTGGACTTTGCCCTGGACGGGGCGGTTTATCCGTTCGCTTCCTCAGTCGCCCAAGATAAACTTCCTTGGATCTGCGCTTTTATCCAGGGTCACGCTATTTTCGCGGTTTTGGGATCCCAGTGATCCCAGTGATTGATCCCCTTTTTTCCCCCTGGATTTCGACGACATCCAAAGGCGTCATAACGACCAGGATAGCTCAACTTCCAAGGCGGTGCAGTTGCAACGAGGCACTCGTCACAGTTGGTCTGTGGTCACATTGTCCAGGTTGTTGCCGCACTGTTGCTTGCACACATTCAGGCACAAGAGAAACAAAAACCCCATCCCACCCTGCCAGGGCGGCTGGGCGGTTATATCTCGCGACAATCCAGCTCCATCATCCGTCATCGTTGTCTTCGGGGATCGGTGGAGGATTCTGGTGTCTAACAACCACATTCCCTATTCGGAATCGCTAGATAAGTATCAAGTGCCGAGGAATATCAAGATATCCAAGTACATCAGGCGCTTGAAAGCGCCTCATGCCATGGTCTGAGAAAAAGCCAAAAGACCATGTATAACACGAGTTACAACACGAATCCTAACTAGGATCTCGGCATCTTGACGTTCCATTCACAACTAGACTTGGCAGCGGCCCAAAGTCTGGACACGATCTGGATACGATCTGGATACGATATGCAGATCATCCTTCCGGCGCGCCAAAAAAAACAGCAGGAATACCATCGAAACAGGAACCACAAAAGTGATGTGCTTGGTGCTACTTTACAGCGCTACCATGACCCATTACAACAACGTCCATAACGCTAGGACGAGTATGTAGCACGTTGTCCCCGCCTTTCTCTCAATTCGTCCGATTCGTTTCGTTTCACGTTACAGGACATATAAAAGACGAAACCCAAGTTGGAAGGCAGGCAGGCAAGGAAGATCACCACCATTGCGGAAGAGGAAGCCGGTTAACGAGCGAACAAGATCCACGCGCTACATAGTCTCGATACTGAAAAGGCAGTTCCGGTTCACAAAGCCGTGGATCGATAGAAGACAGACTGGTATCATTTTTGCTCAAGACTTGATACTCGATACTCGCTTCATCACACGAGGACTTCCACTTCCACTTCCCATGGCGAAGTTTGTGAACATAGATAGCCTGCCAATACAGCCTCCCAATCGGCGTCTACGCCTTACTCGAAACCAGGGCAGCCAGACTTGCCAGATAAACTTTCAACAACCGTGGTGAGAGGAGGAGGAGGGCCTTATGAACTGTACTCAAATAATCCCAAGAAACCACGATGATAAACCGCTAACGACTGTTATTGGACTATCAAATTAACTATCGTACCCCGCGAAACGTCCGCATTTCCAAATGTTCGGACAATCAATGATGGTCAACCAACTACCTACATAATACCTCGAAGGTAGAACGTTATACATTTAAGCATCAGAACTTTTCAAAGGCTTTACAAGTCCACTTCACCAAACTCCAACTATGTCAAAATACCGTTCCCGGATAGTTCGCTAGACCTCCACTTCCCTCCCAGTAGGGAGCTGCCTCAACTTCATAGAGGTACCCACGGATAACCCCATTGTCTCAGGGAGTAGTAAAACCGAAGACAGCCAACTCCCTTTTGTTTCTACGTGACCCGAGTACCGGAGATTACACATGGCGCCCATCCGGATTCCAGGGACGTTGTCTCAGACTCTCAGACACAGAAGGGCCAAAGCGTTCGGAGGCGTTCCGAACAAAGCGGCTGAGGGTTTGGACATCAAACTCCGAGTCCGAGTCCGACTCCGGAGGTAAGCCCGCCTGTCCGGGATCGACTTTGTGCGACTGATAAAGGTCCGACCGGCCGGACCTGACCAGACCTTAATGTTATACTGTTTAAGCTTGGGTTGGGCCGTTGGGGCATCTACCTGGAACAGAGTTAAACCGATAAATATTTTAATGAGACAAAATTGTGAACTGAGTAGATGTACATCGTTGATTGACAGTAAGGAAATTAGTAGCAAGTCAAGCTATATGTGCGTGCGTGTGTGGAGGGAGGTGAACCATAGAGCTACCCATTACTCCCACATCCGTTTTTCTAGATCTCTCTTTTTTTTTTCGCCCCTTGCCTCACTCCCACCTCTCTATCTGGCTAAACCAACCATCTCTATGCCTTTGTTTTGGTCCTTCATTACAGAAGATTGAGTTTCCCTGATGTATGTTGTACATAGATTTGATATGGTTGAAAAGATGGGATCTGAGAAATGCGTATGGCTTCAAGTAGTCACCGCAATGATCTAGAGCTCGTCCTTCGCCTCGGTCTTCTCTCGGGCCTTCTCTCCAACCTCCTCGGCCTTCTTCTCGACCTGGTCGGCCTTCTCCAAGACCACCTCTTGGGCCTTCTCTCCAGCTTCTTGAGCCTTCTCCTGAACCTGTTCAGCCTTCTCGGCGACCGTCTCCTGAACCTGCTCAGCCTTTTCCGCAGCCTTCTCCTTAACGTTGTCAACCACACTCTCAATCTTCTCCTTTGGTTGCTTAGTCGCCTCCTCAACCTTCTCGGCGACCTCCTCGGCAGCCTCCTCAGCCTTTTCCTTGGCTGGTTCAGCGACCTCCTGTACCTTCTCTACAACCTGCTCGGCCTTCTCCTCAGCCTTTTCCTTGGCTGGTTCAGCGACCTCCTGCACCTTCTCTACAACCTGCTCGGCCTTCTCCTCGACCTGCTCGACCTTGTCGCCAGCCTTCTCCGCGACGTTGTTCTTCAGGTTATCGACATTGCCGGCCACCTTCTGAATGCGCTCAAGCATCGTCTGGATTTTCTCCTGGGCGGCCTTGACGTCCTCGCTCTGCTCGATGTCCTGCGACGCGGTGGCTTCATTGCTCTCGCTGGCCGGCTTAGCAATCTTCTCTTCGGCTTCCTTCTCACCGTCGACGCTCTTCTTGGCTTCGGGAACGACCTCCTCGGCAGCAGGAACATTGGGAGTCTCCTGCTCAACGCCTGAAGTATTGACGTTAGTACTTTGACACCCAAGGTTTCAGCATACGGCGGTAGATTTACGTACCCTGAACATCCGGATGCGGGGGCGCAACGGGCTGAGAAGCTTTGGGGGCCGAAACAACCTTAGGCGTGCCGCTTCCACCAAGCTGAATTTCGTTGCCATTTGCATCGATGACGCGTGTTCTCGTCTCATACTGGGTCTTGAACTCGACCTTGCCCTTGAGCGCTTCGACTTGCTCCGCGTTGAGAAGGTTGCCATCCTGATCGCGATACTCAACCTTCTCCTCCCGAGAGAGGATGCGCTGGCCCACCGGGTTGGCACTAGGCTCCTGCTTGGCGGCTTGTTGCTCCTGGTTCGCAATAGGCTTCTGAGCCTGAGGAGGCGCGTTAGCCACAGCAGGCCTCGCAGGCGTGCCCTGAACTGGGGTCTGGGAAGGCTTCTGGCTGGTGGGGGTAATGCCGTAGTAATTGTCGTACTAATCATCAAGCGAGGTGTGTTAGTATCCAAGGGTATGTCGTTGCTGTTTCAGCCAAATCTTTGGAGTGTGGTAAGTTGTCGCTTCCTGCCCGAAGCCTTACTGAAAGTTGAGGCTATCCATCGTGCCTTCGCCTGCCCAAGGGATGAGACACCCAGTGGCTCCGGCTATCATTTCTTTACCCTCTGTCGGGCATATGTCTTGGGGGTATGGTTTGATGGAATATAGAACTTACGCTATCCAGGAAGGTATTGCAGTCGAAATCCCAAGTGCTGAAAAGCTTGACCCTCTTGCATTCAGCCTTGGTCCACGGGTTACCGTAGGCCAGAGGAGAGAACAGCCAGAAGACGACCATCGACAAGGCAAGGAACAAAACGGCGCCGAGTCTGTTGAAAATAACCTTGTCCTTGACGAGAGAGATCCTGGCTGTCACGAAGTCGAAGACTTGGCAGAAGGCAATAATGGCGAAGTACAAGGCCGGGAAGTAATGATGCAGGAAGAGCTGACGCTGCATGAGGTAGAAGGGGAAATAATGGAGCGCCCATCCAAGAACAGAGGTTCCAACCTCATAATCGAATCGCTTGAAGATGGGATTAGCGTAATCGTTGCAGCTGCGCTGCCAGCGGAGAATAGCGATGCCCTTGAAAAGGACATAGATAACAACAGCGGCAGTAGCGCTCCACCAGATGATGGGGTTACCCATCAAGTAAACCTGGCGGTGTTGCCTGCCCCAAAAGTTGATACCGCGGCGGAGGATAGGCCAAGCCTCGGGGCGAGAATCCCAGGCATGAGACTCAACAAGGCCGGCGTTTGTCTTCCACATGACCTTCTGAAGCTCCCAGAACTTGCCGAAGAAGCCAGGGTTGCGATAGTTGACCTTTTCGGCGTCAGCTCCGAGCTGCGGATGGTCATTGGACTCGATGTACCAAAGACTGTTGGGGAGCGAACCGCCCTTGGCGCATGTGACTTCTTGTTGCTCCGAGGCCCAATCAGGAAGTTTAACCTTGTGGGAGAAAAGAACACAGCCCGTCATGATGTGCACCAGCTTGAACTTGGTGTCAATGGTACGAAGACGTTCCTGAGAAACGCCCCTCTTAGACTCCTTCTTGACAATCTCAACACGGAAAAAGTCGTTGGCATCTCCATCGAAGCCCTCATAGCCATAAGCCGACACCTCGTTCTGCCAGTCAGCCTCAGTAACGGGAGGACGAACGTCATGAGAATGGAGACGACGGTGGGTAGGCAGATGATAGAGACGGAGAATCATGCCATCCTTGATATAGGGGGTTTCGGGGAGATTGTCCCACGCGCTAGTTCCGTTGATGGGCTGACCATCGATACCGAGAGGCTGAGTCTGGTTTTCAAGGAGCCAGACGTTGTTGTCATCCTTGTGGGGATAGAGAGTAATCTGCTGCTGCTTTGAGCCAGTGGGGTACATCAAGGGGTGCGAATGAAGATAGCCTCCCTGGGTGTTGACGTGCCTGATGGTCACACGGCTACCCATAAGAACGTCGGCCGGGACATCTTGCATGGCCTTCGAGTTCAGAGTCGACTGGAACTCGGAGCTCATGAAGCCGTCACCGTCGCCAGGGTTGGTAAGGCACAAGAAGTGGATTCCGAACATGGCCATGTAGAAAGTAAGAGGGATGACAATGAGGCAGAAAGCGCGGGCCATGAAGTGCTTGGTGAACGCGCGAGGGGAAACATGCTTGTAATCGCCAAGCACAACCCAGAGCTGAATCAAAGTCAAGCTACCAACCCACGCAATGGTGAACAAACCAACCCACTTGATGCTAGCGGTGATTCCCAAGCCAAGACCGGTGATGACCAGCCAGAACCACCAGCTTGGTGTGAAGGCCTTGGCAGGTCCCAGCTCTTGTTGGTTGGTGAATGCAGTGAAGCCGAGGGCAGTAAGGGCGGTTCCAATCATCAGGGGCGAGTCAAGCAAGATAAGCCGGGCCTGGGTAAGAAGGCCGTTCTCTGTAAAGAACCGGTTTGTTAGTCATGTAGCCTGTCCGATTGCTCTTCGTTCTATCAGACGTACCGAAGATGATAAGACCAGCCCCCAGGAAGGCAGTGGTGCTACGGCATCCAGCTGCCTTGAGTGTGAGGAACATGGTAGGAGCCAAAAGGATACCGCAGATAGCTGGGAACATGCGCATGGCGACATAAGGAACGCCGGGCTCAATGTAGTCCTTTCCAATCTCCTTGAAGTCAAAGCTGCCGTCGAACCCAGCGAGCCAGCCGAAGAGGGTAATCATGAGCTTGGCGAGGGGCGGGTGGACGTCCATGAAGAACTTGCCCTTGATGTACTTGGAAGCGAAGCCGCCGAAGCTGTTGCAGACATCTAATCAGTATTCTGCCAAGCGAGCAACAATATCCTCCCATAGGGTGGCTACATACTGGACTTCGTCAAACACGACACTGTCAGGCTGGTAAATGCGGAATAGGCGAACAATGGCAGACAAAATCGTGATGATAGTGAGGAGCGTGAAGTCGGACCCGGGAAGCAAGAACGGATCATTGTCCTGGACACCCTCGGACGAGTAGTCGTCCTTGACCTTGGCGGACTTGTTCTTGTTGTTCTTGTTCTTGGAAACGGCCGCGGAGGTCGGCACGGCTTCGTAGGCGGGCGGCGGGGCATAGGCCGGGGCATAGGCCGGGGCGTATGCCGGCGGCGGCGCCGGCGATTTCTTGCCGGAGCGAGCCATGTTGACGCAACTATCGAGAGGACGGCAGTCGGATTCGGATCGAGATGGAACTTGTAGAAGGTTTCGGTGGGTGGGATCGTAAAATAAAGATTAACGAGAGTCGAAGAAGGTTAAACTGTCATTAGGACAAGGGCTGCCCGTGTCATGCAGGGTAGTTCCGACGAGACGGAATGGGAACTTTCCGGGGCCGATCGGAAACTGGGCGTGGGGAAGAACGAGTAAGTAATGGTAGTCAAGAGAATAGGAATGGAAAAGAGGAAAGGGAAGACGAGTGCAAAACGACCCGGGCCTGATGAAATCCGTCCTGGCCTTGGACCTTTGTTGATGCAGTGAGAAGCTGGAGAAGGGAAGTGGAGGAAGAGGAAAAAAAGGGTAGCTTATGAAAGGGGCACAAACCCAGGATGTGGTCTAAAGTGAACAAGTGAACAAGTGACGCTCGCAAATGGACCCGTGGAATCTCGTGGCTCTGCCTGAAGCTGAGGTGGACACTGCAGTGGCCTGAAGAGAAGTGGAAGTGGCAGGGTCAGTGATGGAGCTTAAGTGGCCTCAATATCAGCCCCTGTCCCGGGCCTTGGCACCCCTCCCCCGTCGTGCGTCGAAGTTCATTTGAGCTCCACCAAGCGAAGCCATTGGCCAGCCGTTTAGGCCGAGCTCCCCCAGTTTCTGGGCGCCATTGGCATTGACAGCTCACCAACAGGTCCAACACTTGGATCCAATTTGAACTGCAGTCTGACGGTCGGTTCCGCGCTTCTTTTTCTTTTTATACTCCTACGCCGACGCATGTGAGCGGCGGTTGGCCTGCCGTGTATACCATTAACCCTAACCTCATCATAGACGAAGCGTGATGGCGGGAAGTTTAAACATATCTGGTGGGTAGAAAACATTGAAGATTCACTCTTCAATCAGTGACATGTACAACACAAACACCGGGCTAGCGCGACCAAGACGTAGCAAGTACAATTGTACAGTAAGGCTCTGACCGGCGCTGGGCGGCCTAGGCCAGGACTTAATCGGGGTGGGTATTGACGCGCACGGGCCAATCATATTACAGTTGGTCAAACCGCCCTACAAGGTGCAAAGCCATCTTTTCTTTGGAAAAACATCATCATCCAAAAGTCGACACCGACTGTCACATCGCCTTCTCCCGAATTATCGGCCATCTATACGACACAATGGCCGCGACTACGAATGGCGACTCTTCCGCAACGGCGGCTTCACTTGACAATATCAAGCCGCCGCCTGGAGTTATCATCCCGCCACCGGGCGAGATTCGCGAGGCGATCGAGAAAACGGCCGGATATGTTATGCGTGGTGGACTCGGACTCGAACAGCGCATTCGCGAAAACCATGGCAAGAACCCGAAATTCAGCTTCTTGATGACCTCGAGCGATCCGTACAACGCGTACTACGAATGGCGAAAATCAGAAATCAAGGCCGGACGCGGCACCGCCGTTGCCGCTGGTCGCGTCGGCGAGGCTGCCGTAGCTCCAGCCAAGGAAGAGCCAAAGGGCCCTCCCAAGCCGCCCGACTTCCAGTTCTCAGCCCGTATGCCTCGTATGAGCCAGAAAGACTTGGAAATTGTGCGACTAACCGCCATGTTCGTCGCAAAGAATGGTCGCCCATTCATGACACAGCTCTCCCAGCGTGAGGCCAGCAACCCGCAGTTCCAGTTCCTGATACCCAACCACACCTTCCACAACTTCTTCCAGAGCATGGTCGATCAGTACTCCATTCTCCTGCGCGAAGGCGGTGTCAACGGACAAGGCAAGCAGGCACAACAAGAACGCATCGCCGAACTCAAGCGGAACGTTGACGACAAGTACCACGTGCTGGCGCGTGCGAAACAAAGGGCAGAGTATGCGATCTGGCAGGAGGCTGAAAAGGCCAAGAAAGAGGAGGAGGAGGAAAAGAAGAAGATCGAGTTCGCTCGTATCGATTGGAATGACTTCGTCGTCGTTGAGACCATTGTCTTTTCGGAATCAGACGACCAGGCTAACTTGCCCCCTCCCACGACGCTCAACGACCTCCAGTATGCTTCTCTAGAAGAGAAGAACAAAATGTCGATCAGCTCCAACTTCCGGATCGAAGAGGCCTTCCCCTTCGAGGACACCAACTATAACGCTTACCCCCCGCAACAATACGGAGTCCAAGCGGCACCTTCTCAACCAGCCCAGCAACAGCAATACCAATCTCCGAATACTCCCAATGCCCCGCAGGCATACGGCACCGCTCTACCTGTTGGGAGCCATTCAAGACCAGAAGAGGAGGAAGCGGCCCAGAGAGCGCGGGCGGAACAAGAGGCTAGGGCACGGGTGCAGCCAACCGGTGGACTGGCGCCGATGAAGATCAAGGATAACTATGTTCCTCGTGCAGCGCAGCGCGCGGCCAACAAGTTCGGTTCACAAATGGCTTTGTGCCCTAACTGCAAACAGCAAATTCCCCTTAACGAACTGGATGAGCATATGAGAAGTAAGCAAGCCGTCATGTCCCTATCCCTGCGCATGAAATGATGTACTGACACCCTGATTAGTTGAACTCCTTGATCCACGGTGGAAGGAACAGAAAGCCAAGGCGGACGCGAGATTTGCTACAACTAACCTCTCAACTGTGGACGTTGCCAACAACCTCAAGCGTCTGGCTAGCGCACGTACCGATGTTTTCGATGCAGTAACTGGTCAGCCCATATCCGAGGAAGAGCAAGCTCGAAGGAAGAAGGTGGCTATGCACAGCTACGACGGAAATCCCGATGGCAGGAGCCAGGCACATATCAACCAGTTGCAGACCTTCAACCTCGACGAACAGATCAAGGCCATCCATCAAAAGTTTGCCGACAAGAAGTGAGGGGTCTTACAGATCGAACGTTCCCTTGATCGTCTCGTCGAGCGTTTGACGGTTGAAGCCACTTGAGCACGTCTTCAAGCCAAGGCGTGCCGAGAAATTTCTGCTGGATGAGAAGATGGGCGTTTCCTAGCGGGCCAACACCCAGATATCCGCCCTTACATGCAGGGCTTAGGGTACGAACTACATTTTCTTTTGAGATCGGGACCGCAGGTGAGGAAATCATTGTTTCGCCGACCTATACTCCTTCGTTTTGGAAAGCTCATGCAAACCTTGTCGCACTTTATACAGCTTGTCAGGCGACTCCAGAGCCATACAACGAGGGGAGAACGAAGAGTATGCCTGATGGATCTCTCAGACATGTGAGTATGACACAATCAGTAGATTATAGAGATGTCTGGGAGGAGAGTTCGCGAATGCGATACGGGCTGATGCTTGCATGCTTTACATACGTAGAGTCAGGGGTCCTATAAATAACCACTTGGTCAAAATGGCTCAGCCGGCGCCTGTATGGACATAATGATATATCATCTAGCTTTGTTCAATCCCCATCTCTTCGTGATACTAATGGTTGATATGAAGCAGGCATTCTCGACGTTACTAGATACAGCAAGTGAGGCTCGACCTGGTGCATGGGTATTGTAACGTGTAACGTATTTTACGGTAACCCATCCCCACCTTTGGCATGGGTCCCCATTTTAGCCTGGGCTCCCCCTCATAGCGTCGTGGTTACGGCTTCGTGAGCTCGTATTTCCAGGTGTAGCTTCCCCTCGTAACCTCGTTTCCCTCCAACGTCAATCGACAACCCCCCACCTTCGAATCTGGTCTCTCCAAGTTGTATCATGTAAGTTCTTCCACCTTCATCGACGTACGACGACCACATCCATTGCGCCCAAGCCACCTTGCTCCTTCATCCATCTGTCACCCAAGTCCTCTTCTGACAAAGCAACAAAGCAACACCTCCAGCGCCGACTACAGCAAGGAGATTCGAGCTGATTCCCGCCATCTTAACCGGGAAACCAGCTCTCTGCGTTCGAAAATAACCACAAAACCGACGTCCTTCCAAAACCGCGAAAACGGCGTCCTCCAGCAACTTCGGGTCCGCCGCCCCGGGTGCGCGCGCGACCTCTCCCACCTCACCAACATCGCCCACCAGCCCGGTCAGCCCAACGGGCTCTCAGTCGGATAAAGCAAAGGCGGCAGCGGCTGCTGCTGCCCGTCTGCACCGGCCCATCATGCAGTCCCTACCGGACACGCGACAACAGTCGTTCGATGAGATCTACGGACCGCCCGAGAACTTTTTGGAGATTGAGGTTAGTTCTAGTCTCACCCCATCGGTCGGCTCGCTCTATCACATGGACGGCCCGGCTACACTTGGTCGGACTTCCATCCTCGACAATGGCCACCAGTATAAATACACCAGACAGGGCCCAACTGACGTGTTCACCCTCGAATAGGTCCGCAACCCCCGAACCCACGGTATCGGCCGCCACATGTATACCGACTACGAGATCGTATGTCGCACCAACATCCCCGCCTTCAAGCTGCGGCAGTCGACGGTGCGCCGCCGCTACTCGGACTTTGAGTACTTTCGCGACATCCTGGAGCGGGAGAGCGCCCGCGTGACGATTCCCCCGCTTCCCGGCAAGGTGTTTACCAACCGGTTCAGCGACGACGTGATCGAGGGCCGCAGGGCGGGTTTGGAGAAGTTCCTCAAGATCGTCGTTGGACACCCGCTCTTGCAAACGGGGAGTAAGGTGCTGGCTGCTTTTGTGCAGGGTGAGTTCCATGTTTTCTTTCCTTCCTCCTCCTGCCTTCCTCCCGTCTGTGTCTCTTCTTCTCCAGACCGATCGATCGTGAACTTGGCTAACAACGATATCTCCCACCTTTTTCCCATGGAAACCAGACCCCAACTGGGACCGTAACGCATGGTGACTCCTCTTCCGCGAAAGCTGGGGAGTAACAACTCCGCGTCCGCGCTTTGGCAGCGCCCCTTCGTCGTTATCATCGTCCACGTCCACATCAACCTTGTCTTCTGCTTTTTCTTCTTCGTTAGCCAGTAATAACCATAGCGTTGTTGTCCTCCACAATACCAATACTAGTAATTACACAACCTCATCATCGTCATCGCCGCCGCAACAATCGCAACGGGACCACCAGTCGCAAAACAGACAGCTACAATCGACGACTGTGCGAACGCCGAGGAAACTGCGCAAACGTCCTCCGCGGGGTTGGGCTGAGACGCAGGCTTTGTGTAAGCTGGTGGTGGGTGATGGTGATGAGGAGTCGTGATTATTATGGGGTTGAAAGTTTACCGCAGTTTGCTTGCAGGGAAGTGAAAGAGGATGGCTTGTCCGTATTTATGAGTGAAAAGATCGGATGGAGGAGAGCAGGCAAAAAGCTACCTCCCTTGAATGATTCTCAAAGTGTACATGTGTTAAAAGGTTAGCGACATCAAGGAGGATGGCTGTGATGATATGATGTTAGCCGTCGAGAATGAATATCTTGGGTTATTTTGCCTACATATCACAACCACGGTAATGAAGATGCTGATCAAGATATCTGCAATTGACTTTGATTCTTCTAATCCCTATAATCCCTAGTAATTTTTCGCTGTTCCTTAATCTTCCCACCAGCTAGGTACCCGCACCAAGGCCTTTGGTTAAGTATGGTAACCTAGCCAGCCTCAGGCTCTTTGATAGCACTGTCCCTCCAATTCTGCTTGCTCGATCCTCAACCGACCAAGCCGACCGACCGATGGAACGAAAATCCCTCCCAGCCAGCCCTGGTCGTTCTTCTAACACTATCGTACACTGATATTTGGTTCTTCTTCTGCCTGTTTCTCTCCCGCTGATCCTGGCCGCTGCTGTTTGTTCGGTTGTGGTTGTGGTTGTGGTTGTGTCCACAAGAAGACAAGAAATGATGGGAAATTTTTGAAGAGTGGGGGTTGATATTAGGATCCGGTTGTTGATGTGTCGATTGCCGGGCACAAGCGGGAAGCAGGCAGAGAAGAAGGGGGTTGCTTGTAACGCCTACGCTTTTTTTTTAGACGTCATCGTGAAAGGTAAAATATTCGTACATAGCTGGCTGACATCTGAGGTGTTGATATGACAACCTCGTTTTCGTTCTCCTTGCGAACGTCGGAGGACAAGTATAGAGGGGCCGAGTCTGTCTGTCTGTCTCCCCGTTCCTCTTGGTTCGTTAACATCCGTCCGGCCGTCACAAATCCGGGATTGAATCGTCGTGATTTTCGCATCATCGTTCGGTTCTTCATGACGGGGTATGAAGGAGCCTCAGGATGGCTTCGTACATGCCAAACATGATGGCGGCGCTGGGCACCGTCCGGAGCATGTGCGGCGTCATACCACCGTACAGACCGGCCATGCCCTCCTCCTTGAAGACGAGCTTGAAGCACTGGATCAGGCCCGTGTATTTGGGCTTGCCGTGGTCCATGGGCGCCTGTCGTAGACGGGTGCGGGCGACCTCATGAGGGTATGTGAGGATGGCCGCGACAAGCTTCGCGCCGCCCGCAGCGCCCGCATTACCCGTCCAGTTGACCGCGTGGTCCCACCACGTCTTCTGGCGCCCGCTCTGCACAATCTTCTCCTCCCGCAGCGCCAGCGCCGTCTTCATGCGCTCGTACAGCACCCACTGCAGCGTCGACTCGGCCACGCCCAGGTAGCTCGCGCTCATGCCCTTGTACAGGCCCCGGAGCCCTTCGTTCCGCAGGATCTGCCGGATGCAGTCGTAGCTGTTCTGGTACTGCCGCCTCGTCACGCCTCCGCTCTCGGCCGCCACGTTCTTGTCGAGCTGCAGCCGCGTCTTGACCATCCATATCGGGTTCGTCGCCGTGCTGGTCACGATGCCCGCCAGCACGCCCGCGCTGAGGTGCACCCATGTGCCTTCCTGTCCGTTGTTGAAGTACTTGGCGATCAGCCGCTTGCCGTTGCCGTAGGTGAAGAAGTTGATGGAGCGCGCGGGCACGACGCCGACGAGGTTGGGGCCGAGACCCTTGAACAGGGCGCGGGGGCCTTCTTGCCGGTAGACAGACGACAGGATCTGGCCGGTCTCGCTAAAGTGGTACCAGGCGGCGCGAACCGGGTTGAGGGGCACTCCTGCGTGCGATTGTCGCGAGGCTCGGAGTTGTGCTTGGTAGAAGTCGGACTGGAGTCGGGTCTTGAGAACGTCTAATGGGGCGGTTAAGGCTGCGGCTGTCATACCACCGATTCTGTTATGTGCGCGCGAGTGTTAAGCTCAGAGCTCTTCTTGGCTGACGGGGCGCAAGTGCGTGAAGGAGTGGTTCTTGCTTACCCTCCTGCAACAAAGTGCGCCCATGATTTTGCAAAGGGTGTTGCCTCGGTCTTGTCTGGCCGTACTAGCGGATCGGCTTGGTGTGACTCTGGTACTATGTCGCCCGTTTCGCGGGATACGACGAGCGGGATGTGGTCGCTCTTGGAGTGCTGGTCGGAGGGATCGGATACCCTCCTGGTGGCCGGCAGTGACTCCATTGTGAAGTAGATCCTTTTGTCGACGTTCTCTCCTCTGTGGATGGGTTCAGTGATCAGCCAGAACAAGTCTGGCGATCAGAGAGCGGGATGATGGGCGCTTGTGTGCGTTTGTCTGAAGTTTTTGCGCAGCAATTGAAGACGCCGTGATCCAGGAGTGGTGTTCAAACTCGACTTTGGCCGTAAAGGTACCACTTTGGCTGTAGGAGAGGGTGCGGGTGGTGTCCGGGTGTGTGGTTTGCAGTCGCGGGTCAGGACTTTTCTGGGGAAATTGAGGGACCGCAACGGCAAAATCGTTATCAGCGATAAGAATGGTTCGCCCGACTTTTTTTGCCAGTCAATGCGCCTGCCGCCTTCGTGCCATTCCCTAGTTCCACATCCCTGTGCGGTTAAAATCCGGCCCTGAACCAGTGCCCGGGATCAGCGGGTTGTCGTCATCATCCCAACCGGCAGGCCCACCCAGTTCCCTTATCAGGCAATCAGAAAACAGCAGGGGTAAAAAGGGGTTTGTTTTGATTTTATCCAGGGCTTGCTCTGTACACTGTTACGTTCACTCAACAGTTCACAATCACGGCATGACTATTGCCGGCTCACAGGCACAGGAACACATTGTGGGATGCACTACCATTCATTTGATATCTAATTTCTAAAATACAAACAACTCTCTAAGCCGACCCGACCACCAACAATCCTGTTCTCTAAACTCGCAGTGAATGTCCAGCTGCAAATGTTGTTCGTTCAGTGATGATGAAAAGCAGAAGTGATAGAGGAGACTACCAAATCGTAAATGAAGGTCGCTGATAAAATAAGAATAAAAAGCAAATGACGCGCATATCGCCATCGCGATGTTGGGTATCTTAATGCTCGTGGAAGGAAACCAAATGGGAAAAAGACCGATAACAGGCAAGCCGGTGATCCCAGTACAGATGAAGAAGTATGGAAACCCCACAGGCTTGCTAGCATATTTCCTTCGAGAATGTCCGATATTCCGCTAAGCTTCCGTCATGATATGAGTACCTGGTAGTGGTGGACTGATGATGATAATGCCGATAATACTGCGATCCCCTTTAGCAACGCATGCCGCTGGAAGGAAGATGAGAAACAATGATCGATGATGATACCGCCGAGCTAGATTATGGATCCCACAAATCCTCAACAACGGCCGTGGTTCCAAACCCCCCAGTCATAGGAGAATACCGACAATACTCCTCGTCATTGTCTCTTTAGCGCCACCACGGAAGCCTAAGCAGCCGTCAACTGCATGAGCCTGCCATTGGCACTGGGCTGATAGCCATAATAGAGCGCACGCTTGATGCTCTCTTCAATGGCTCTCATCTCCTTCTCCATGGCTTGCTTCAGAGTCATGTTATCGTACTCATCGCCAGCAGCGAAGCCGATCTCATGCCAGAGGAAGCCAAAGTAGCCGTTGCTGTCCATCTTGGCGGCCTTGCTGAGAATGTCGGTCCTCTCGCTGACAGGCTTGAGGTGGACAAAGCGGGTGGTCTCCTCGCGGATGATGGCAATGTACCACTCGAGAACATCGAGCGGGACTCCAGGCTTTGGGCAAATCGACAGCTGGTGGGTCCAGAGATCGGGGAACCTGGGTTGGTTGAACTCGCGCTGCTTCATCTCGTCCATGCCAGCGGTGAAGGCGATGTTGTCCTTTTGAAGGACGCTGAAGCCAGGGCATAGCATGGCTGTGTTGACCAGACGCTTGAGGAGACGTTGGTCGAGGGCGATGTGACTATCGCGGTCGTTGCGCTGGATGGTGTTGTGAAGCAGCTCGATGAGACGAATCGTGGCATTGTATACGGCCCAGCGTTGGTGAATCGTGATGCAATCTGACTTTTGCCAAGGCAGCTTTCTGATGGTGGAGATCATGCACTCATAAGGGCGCTGGGGGCAGTGCTTGAGGTATTGAGCCTGTGCACGCATTGTCAGTCGGTACTGTTTGTCACCCGAAGGAACGTGGGAGGTGAGTAACTCACGCGCTGAGGCATCTCAACAAGCTTGACCAGCATAGCCATCTCCTCGGTCGTGACAAAGCCCTTGAAAGTGTTCCAGGGCTTGCCCTCAACTGGACGTTGAATTTCAGGCTCGGCGCCCCTCCAAACAACTCCGGCCGCCAAAGGAAAGAGGTCCTTCATCATACTGGCCTGGCCCGACAGTTCCACATCAACAGGGCGATCAGCAATACGAGGAGGACGACCTCTCTGCACAGCTTGGTTGAAGCGCTGGACAGCTCTGATAGCATCCTCTTGATGGAAGAACTCAACGTAGGCTTCTTGCGTCTTGCCAGAGATACGCTCCATAATGACATGAACAGGCTCCTGAGCGTCGTTCAGGATTTTGGAGTTACGACCAAGGAAGGCCTTGATCTCTTGGTGAGTGGTCATGTAAGGAATCTGGGTGGAAACACTCGATTAGAATTAGTCTCGTCACAGATAGTAGGTGCGAACTTACGTTTTTTATCTTGACAACTCCAGCATCCGAAGCCGAAGCTTGGGAGCAACTCTCGATGAAAGGGAAGTTGTCAGGATGCAAGGCTACCCCCGCGGTAGGGAGACCAGACGGGCCGTCGGTGAGCCTGTTCAGCTGCGTTGAGCGTGCAGCTCGCACTTCTGGAGGGGGAGGGCCAGAAATGGGCATATGTGGCATGACCGCATAGTTCTCGTTCGGGGTCTCATACCCTGAATGGTGGTTAGGGATTCTGACAATAGCCCGCTCATCGTTGCCCGCCGGAGAGAACGGATCAATCCCGGAGCCGGCGACGACACCAGCTTGAGTGCCGTTGGTGTTAGGGGCATGAGCAGTGCCAATCATGAAAGGAGGCGGGGGTTGGATAGGAAGTGAATCTGCGCGGGGGGCGAAGTTACGTGGCTCGGTTTGATTGTAAGGGTTCGTGACGGAAGTCTTGTTCGTGTGCAAAGGGGTCTTTGTAGCCTGAGACTGGCCGAGGTCGGTCTGCGGGTCATTTGCGGTATGGTTGTCTTCGTTCCTGGGAGCATCGCCGGTCTGCTGGCCGCCCTGGGGCTGCACATTGGAGCCTGGACCTCCAAACGTCGGACCATAGGCGTAGTAGAACTGGCCAGGAGCCAACTGGGTGACACCCGCGACGGGCTGGGCATGAGGCGACTGAGCGAAGGCTGGAAGACCGTTAGACCCATTAGTTGGAATGCATGAACTATGGAGAAAGGGTGTCAGACCATTGGAATCGGCGATTGGGGCCATTTGATGTTGAGGATAAGGGTGGCCCATGGGCGCATATTCAACCGGGTATCCAGCCTGACCAACGGGTGAACTAACACCGGGGTGGCCGCCAGGCCCGTTGGGCACGAAGCCCTGGCCAGACTGGACTTGAGCAATACCCATGTGCTGGTAAGCGATACCTGCCTGCTGTTTATTGATGTTGTGGTTGTTTGATGACGCCCAAACAGGTTGACCTCCCGCCATTGCATCGTTTGTTGGATTAGGTGGTATGCCATTGCCCAGGGCCGGGCTAGGTTGAACTGGTTGAAAGGGTTGCGCTGCTTGGGGATACTGAACCGCGTAGGCCATCGGAGCTTGGTGGACAAAAGAGGCAGCTCCAGTGGTAGCAGGAGTTCCTTGTTGACGACCTTGGGTGTGGCCATTGGTGAACCCGTTCTGTTTGCCTCTGTTGTTTCCATTGCTGCCATTTTGTTCGAAAGTACCAGTACGCTTTGTGATGGAAGTTAGTGAAACCGATCAGACCAAAATACACCAAAATGTCTCCCTTGGAACCATACCTTCGTATCCTTTCTGCGGAATTCTTTAGCAAAATTCGTGTTGGGAGCATTCCCATTCTTCCCTTGCGCAACGCTGGCCTTGGGGGTAGCGTCAATATCTTGAGCCATAACAGCTTGCGGAGACTGGATAGGCTGGACGGGGAAATCCTCTTGCGAGTCGTCATCCAACAGTGACACGCCACCATGGCCCTCGTGATCCTCGGAATCGACAGACTGGATCGACGAGTTCACCATATTGTGGCGGCCCTTTTCAAGCATCTTGGAGACGGCGTTCCGGGCCATGCCCGAAGGTTTGGGCGTCATGTGTTTGACGTCCGCCATGGTGAACTTCACGTGGCCGTGTCGCTAAGACCTATGTGGCAGGACAGTTGGTTAGCGGTCGGAAAGGAGGAGGGGATATGAGGAACATCTGAAGCGAATCTGATATGGAGGTTAACGGTTGCACATACCAGTGGCGGTACCTCTAGGCGCACAGGAGACGACAGCAAGTCTCCTGAATATCTTTTACCGCAGGTGATGGACCGTGGTAGCGATGGTAGAAAGTTGGCTGATCGACTGTGTTCGGTTTCGGTGTGCGGGGTCGATCAAGGTATGCAAGAGGGTGGAATACCTGGCGAAATCGCATGGACGATATAAGCAAACGAACTTGTAGGGTCCAATATCCAGCGTAAGGTAATCGGTCGGAAGAGGACAAGTACAAGTTCCAGTACTGCGTCGAGTGTCTTTGCTGAGGAATATTTATTGTGACCGTTCAGGTTGGTGGAGGGGGAAAAGAGTGGATGAGGAAAGTTGGGTAAGGAAAGGCTGAACGCGAAAGCCTTGCGCAAACCTACCAGTGCCTGCCAGCTGCGTGTGTTAGAGGGGAGGTTTGGCCGACAAATTCGCCCGTAACCAGGAGTTCAGACGAAGACCCTGGGGGTCAAGGTGTTGAGGATAGATACCAAGATTTGACTGGAAACCTGGGAATCTAACGGAATCTGAAGCGGTCTTACCTTCACCTCCAGTGGCAGAACCAAGATCCCCCGAGGCTCGTTAGTGACAGTAAGTAAAAACAACGGTCAGTGAGTCTCGTTGTTCAGCAAGCTCAAAGGTCATCGACGAAGGACCTGCTGCGGGTGTTGGGTGCAAGTAAGAAAAATGACCGGGGATGCCGCCCAAAGATTCCAAACGATTGAATAAGGTGAGCCTTTGCGAAGGGGGAGTGACATGTGTCTGCCTATTGTCTTGCCTGCCAATACAAGTCACGTTGAAGTTTGAAACGGGTAGCTGACACTAGGCTGGAACTAGGTTGATTCCTATTACAATCTGGTTCATCAGTCAACTTCTGTCCAGTTGTGGTTTGTCCAAGGGCGCCATACGTTACCACAATACCGCCTGTTTCCATCAGATGAAAATTGGGTGAGCCAAGTTTCATTCATCAACAAGAATCTCCCATTCAACAAGAGGCCTTGGTCAGTCAGCAGCCAGAAGTACTAGTAGCTTGATATCAGAGGTCCAAGACTCCTCACGCGCTCCCTACCGGTGTGTCTTCCGGAAGTCGTTGAGTAACGGTGAACTTGACTGTCCACGCAGCAGCTTGAGCCGGTTGATTGTCTATCTCCTTTGCGTGCCATGGACGAGTGTTTGGACAGTGTAGACGCATGTTATCATGCAAAGTTATGTCCGCAATGCGGTTGCTTTCACGCATTCCAGCGCAGGGCAATCGACAACTGTCTTCCACCCAAAGCAGAATAAGAGCTGAGTGTCAGGCAAATTGGCCAAGAAGGTCGATCGGCACTTCCAGGTGTAGACCAGAGAGGGAATAGCAAGATACGTGGTAGTAAGAATGAATTATGAAAATTGTGCCCGCGTGGATGGTGTAGATTATGCACAAGTTGGCAACTCCACCCGCGGAGGTGTATCGGTAGAGAGTTATTATTTGGTGCCATGGCATCTGGGTGCGCTCGTAATCCCATTGTGTTCCTCTTTGCCCTCCCAAAAGCGCCATCCACATGCGTCCAACATGACTTCACGTTGGGAAAATCCCGGAGTAGCCTTCCATACAGGCCCGGAAACAGCAAACGCAACGCCAATGATGTCCAGAATACTCGCTTAGTCGAACTGTTGGGAAGAGGCTTGTTAGCATGGCCACTCATTGTGAGGGCTGCTTTAAAAGGGCTTACTGGTGTCAAGAAGGACTCGGCAACGAAACGCGCCCGCGCATTTAGCTAAGGAATGTGTCAGTTCTGTATAACTTATGGCAGAGGAGATGGTTGACATACGAAAAGCTTCATTTCGGAAATCTCCTTGTCAACCTCTTCCATAAACTGGATGATGAAGTCCACCAGCTTATGCTTGAGCATCTCCTCGGTATGGAAGTTGGTAATCAGGAAGGAGATGTCGTAGCCCTTGATGGGCTTCCTTCTGAGAATGAAGAAGGACTCGGCTCTTTGTGTCAAGAACCTGGTGAACTTGTGTACCAGGATGTGCTCGATCTCGTCGGCCTGCTTGATCTTGATGCTGATGCGTATACTGTTGATGCTGGGCTCGATAAGGACTCGCTCGTTCTCGTTGCGCGCAATCGTCAGGGGTGTAAGCAGCACTTCAGGGGAAGTCCGGGCTTCGACCTCGGGGACATTGTGTCGTTCGGCGGTCTGGGAAGCAAAGTTGGAAAGAGTGAGGGCGGCCGTCAGACTGCTCCGGACAGCCTGGAGGTAGGGACGTAGTGATTGCGACTATGGGTTGAGCGTGTGTGAGCAGAGAGACCAACAAGGCTGGGAATAGTCGGGGCAGCGGTCAAGTCGCCGTCGATGCGCGTGCTCACCATTGTGCTTTTCCTAGCTGCGCGGCCAGTTCCCCTCCGTTGCTGGATGACTTCCGACCAGCAAAAGTAGTGCTGTACAGGTGGTCTGTGTCGTGGAGTTGTGTTGTGGTGGTGAAGCTCGTCGCCGTCGTCGCCGATGTTGGTTGGATGTCGGGTGCTGGACCAGTCCGGTATGGTCTTGAGGTTCCCGCCGCAAGGTGACGCTCCCGTGCGGTACCTGTACGTAGCTGCTTCCACTGGGCTGCTGGCCCGGCCAGGCTCGCCAGGGCAGGCCAGCGCTCAGCTCCAGCCTAGAGACGGGCTTGGTGGATAGGTGGAGACAGCCAGGTGGATAATGTGGACAGAGTGGGGTAGATTCAGACCATCTGAGTGGGCCGCATCACGGTTGCCCAGCATGTTCTCAAGGTGGCTTGTTGCACTTTTCCCGTTAGATGCATAAACTAAGCTCGTCCAGGCACGGCCAGCTACGCAATCCCGCCCCTGCGCCAGCCCCGCGCTGTCCCGTCTTCTTTCGCCTTCGACAACTTTCAAATCACCAAGCTGTCTGCCTTCCCATACATCGAAACCAAAGTCGCCGACGAGGAAGCCCGTAACTTCTTCACACTCCATCCAAGATCGTCAGGACAACAACACAAATATGTCGACAATCAGCGGTATGCCTCTTACCCTTTTGACCTTTCACGGCACAAACACGCGGCTTTCCCCTCGGGCTGTATGACTAACTCTATCTAGTGGTGGTGAAACACCAAGGAAAGAAATACGACGTGGATGTCGATACCTCCGCGACCGGCGAAGTCTTCAAGTACCAGCTTTACAGCCTGACTGGCGTCGAACCCGACCGGCAAAAGGTGCTCCTTAAGGGCAGTCAACTCAAAGATGATACCGATATGAGCAAGGTGGGCCTGAAGCCCGGCCAGATGATCATGATGATGGGAACCCCAGGTGAGGGTGGAGGCGCAATCGTCCGACCAACCGAGAAGGTCAAGTTTGTTGAGGACATGACCGAGGCCGAAGCGGCACAACAAGCGGGAGCGACTCCGGCTGGTCTCCAGAATTTCGGCAACACCTGCTACCTCAACTCGACGCTCCAGGTTCTCCGCTCCATCCCCGAGCTTAACGACGCTCTGAAGTCATACAAGGGCGAACAATCAATGCTCGACCCTACGTCGCAGCTCAGAAACCTCTACGATATGATGTCGAAAACACAGGAGGGCATTCCTCCGCTCGCATTTCTGAATGCTCTCCGTGTCGCCTTCCCCCAGTTTGCCGAGAGGGAAAGAGACGGCCACGGTTATGCCCAGCAGGATGCGGAAGAAGCTTGGTCACAAATCCTAACCCAACTCAAGCAAAAGCTCAAGATTTCTGAGGGTGACGCCGCCAGAGACGCATCCTTCATCGACAAGTACATGGGTCTTGAACTCACCAGCGTCCTCGAGTGCGACGAACCTGGCGCCAAGGAAGCCGGAGAGGAATCAAAAACCTCAAAGGAGCGTCTCCTCAAGCTCAACTGCCATATCGACGGTCAGACCAATCATCTTAGGGATGGAATTGTTAACGGTTTGGTGGAGAAGCTCGAGAAGAAGTCGGAGGTTCTGGATAGGGAAGCGACGTACACTAAGCGTTCCCAAATCTCCAGGCTACCCAAGTATCTAACCGTGCACTTCATGCGCTTCTTCTGGAAACGTGAGGTTCAGAAGAAGGCCAAGATTATGCGCAAGGTCACATTCCCCCACGAGCTTGATGTGGTCGAGTTCTGCACAGACGAGCTTAGGAAGGCTCTTATTCCTGTCAGGGACAAGGTCCGCGAGGTGCGCAAGGAGGAGCACGATATTGAAAGGGCACGCAAGCGCAGAAAGATGAACCCTATCGACGGTGAAAACGCCCAGGGATCCTCATCATCATCCAAGGACAAGAAGAAAGACGAGAAGAAGCCTTCTGGCGGTGACGTGGAGATGACCACAGAGGAGACCTTCAAGACAGACGCCGAGTTCGAGGCCGAGAAGGAAGCTGAAGTGCTCGCTGCCAAGAAGGAGCTCTACTCCTTGATCAACCAAGATCTTCTCAAGGACGAAGGTGCCAACCAGTCTGGATTGTATGAGCTTCGCGGTGTGATCACCCATCAGGGTGCCAGCGCCGACAGTGGACATTATACGGCCTACGTCAAGAAGACAGGGATTAAGGACCCCGTCACTGGCAAGGTCGGTGAGGAGGACGGCAAGTGGTGGTGGTTCAATGATGACAAGGTCTCTGAAGTGGAGGCGGAAAAGATCACTGCTCTGGCTGGCGGTGGAGAGTCACACTCGGCTTTGATCTTGCTCTACCGCGCGATTCCCCTTCCTAGTGCCGACGGAACCCAGTAGGGCATATCGTAGCCTTTGCTTATTCGGCGCGAGGCAATTTCGCATTAGGTTTTCATGCTAGCGAGGCGGAGTTGGCAGTAATGGTTTCTAGGTAGTATGGGCTGTGGCCATTGCTTCATGAACATGATACATGTTGTTCTTCGTTTGTCTATATCCACTGCATTGTTGTCCACACGCGAGATACGATATTGGCTTCATTGCCCCCTTCAAATCGTAGAGCTCGTTCGTTTTCAATCGTGGCTTGATGCGATGGAGATTCTCTGGCCCGCATGGGCATGAAACATTTCTATTCAGGTCTGTTGTCCCTTGGAATTTCTGTACTTGCCCTCGTCCCCGTCTACACGGACCTCAGAATCCCCCGTGCTCTTACAAAGCCATGCGTGGTGTTGCAGGGGAAACATGTCTATCCACTGCGCATTATGCTCGGGTCGGTGCTGTTTTTCCCCAGTCGAGCTTCTGTATTTTGTTCCTTGTCGTCGTACCGATGTCGAACTCCCCACAACATCCAGCTCTGAATCGGGGTTTTAGTGATGCGGACACCGACGCCATATCACGCCAGTGCCTCGACATGACCCGGTCATCACCACCACATGGGTAAGACTGTTGCGACCACCCCTTCCTTCCTTCCTTCCCGAGTACTGGTCCGTTCATGGATGAGGGAGACCACTCCGTCCGTCAGATGCCATGGCCCACGCGACGAATTCAAGAGAATCTGTCATATCCCTCCACGCCGTCCCAGTCGTGTCGTCTGCGTTTTCTCACTTTCTTATACCGGCAATCCATTTTCCCTTTCTTTCCACACGGACGTAAATTTCCCACCCAAACCGGATCTTCGGAAGGCGAAAACAATGAGAATGATGATCCCCCACCACTCATGAACCCAACCAGCCAGCCTTACATCCCCTTTTCCTTTCGCTTCTGCCGTTATTTGTCGTCTGTTTGTTGTCTGAAACGAAACGCCGGCGGCCACATCACCTCCTCGGCATCGCCACCGCACCACTCTTCTCTTTCTCCTCCTTCTCCTTCTCCAGCCTCATGCGCTCCCTGACATCAGCCAGCTTCTGCTCGATCTCGATCTTGGTTTTGAACAGCTGGGCGCGGCGGTTGACGAGCATCTCGATTTTGTCTTGGGCGGTGGCTTCTTGGACTTTTTGTTTTTCCTGTTTTTTTTTACCCCCAGAGTTAGTTAGCTTCTTGGGTTTTTGGGTCATGATTGAACGGGGGGTGGGATGGGATTGTGGGTAGGGAAAGGGAACATACCTCACTCCATTCCTTCTGCGTCTTAAGACCAGCACCATAAATCGTTCCGGTCACAGTCACGGCCGTGAAGGCCAAGGTCCAGACGGCGGCCTTCCATTTGGGAAAGGGAGGACGGGACTGTTGTTGTGGCGCTTCTTCTCCTCCTCCTTTTCCTTGTTGATGTCCTCCTCCTGCTCCTCCTTCTCCTCCCGGAGGTGGTGGTGGTGGTGCTCCCCCGGATGATCCCTCTTTTGTCAAGTCATTTGTTGGTAGAGGTGGTGGTGATGATGATACTGGGGCCGTTGCGGTCGCTGGCGGAGGCGGAGGTGCCTGTGATAGAGGGCTTGAAGCTTTTACTCCTGTTGTTGGCTTCGCTGCTGCTGTTGGCGATGTCGGCGCTGGTCGCAGTGGTGAGTGCTTCGGGGCGGTCGCTTTTGCTGCTTTTGTGGCCTTGTTGAGCGCTGAAGCGGCGGCTCGCTTTGCTGGTCCGGTGGCCATGGTGGGCGATGTGTTTTTGCGGGGATTCGGAGGTTACTGAGCTCGGAGAGTGGCTAGGTATCGCATTGAAAGCTGTTTTCTAGCTGCTAGTAGCTTCGTTCCGATCTTGCGATTTGGATTGATGTTGTTGAAAGGTTAAAAAGAGGTGGGATGTTGCATAGCTTGCTCTAGCTCGTCTAGCTCGTCCGCCCCAAGACCCAACCTCGGTTTAGTCGACTGATTTACCCCGCCTACCCTGTACTTCAAGCTTGCTGGCTAACACAGTAGTTGGGTAAGAATATCGTCTTTCGAGACTGCTTTACACGCCACAAATTTTAATATCTGGCTTCAGCTTATGGAAGTGATAACATTTGGATATTGTGTAAGCGATGATACACAAGGATTATCGTCTCAACAGCAATTGGGGTAACCCTTGTCAGGTACAGAACTCCCCCCATCTTTTGTGTGCAGATACTGTACGTTCAGACGAGCACATGCAGCCGACAGCTCTGACACCTAGCGCGAACGTTACACAACCCAAATTCCAGAACTGGTAAGGTACTATCTCGCAGCATCTAACTCCCCTACAACCAACTGCCCCGCTTAGTTACCTCACATTGCGATCACCGACGGGAGTCACCTTTGCGTCACCACCACAGTCATATTGATCCCAGTCCAATCTGTTGATTTTCTTGGGCGCATTTCACTTCTTTGTCTTTGAAATTCGAGATCGAGCGTTGGACTTGAAGCTTTCAGGCCAAAACCCAGCTTCTTGGTCTTGAAAACTATCACCGCAGCATCAGATTGCGTTCAGTCGCGCCTCTGTAACCTTGTCGGGCATCACTACCTTACGTGCGTGCAGTAAGCGACGTTAGCACGCTATCTTAGTAGAGTTGCCAATATTTTTCGCTACCCTTAGCAGTACAACACCTACCTAGCGATGCCGTCCGCTACAGTTGTCATTGAGCCCCTCACCTCCAAGATCATCACGGCAAAGTATGCCCACGATGCCTTGACCAACTTTGAAAAAGGAAACGGCAAGATCGGGAGGAACCTGATGATTATGCGAAAGGAATATGTAAGTACTGCCTCTGGACACCTCAGCTTCTCCTACATGCTCGAATGCTGACACTCTTTCTTCAGCCTGCCAGGGACATTATTCTCCGCAAAAATCTCGGGTCGGTAAACTTGACAGTGCGCCAAAATTTGGATGCCGTGTTTGTATAGATTAATAGTAAAATAGTTGCTGCAGAATGTGAGCTGTGTAAGAGCAGTACAGGGCCGTTCGTCGGTTGTATTCAACACCCGGAGGTTGGCGATGGTGCATGTGCAAATTGCCTGTATAAGCGTTACGGAAATTGCTGTACGCATCGTGTTTTGATGGATACCGACAGTGACGATATCCTACCGAGTCAGCATCGAAAGCGGCAGGAGCCCCCCCCAGGAGCCCAACCTACCGGCACCTACCACCAAAAAGAACGTCGAGAAGCGAAGAAGGACTATCGAAGTCTGTACTGAGGCGGCTACTAAGACAGCTACCCAACTCGAAGCGCCCATCCCCTTGCCCGCTCATTACCAACAGCCTCTACAGCCTCTCCTTAAACCTACACCTGTAGCCACCCCTCCCACAATAACGAGTCAAACTCAAGTTAGCAAGCCGCCGATTCACGGCCTGGGCACGGCGCTTGGTTCGGCTGCAGAACACTGGCTAAAAAGTCTAGCCTTCAGCAAGTACGCTTCCCCGGCTCCTCCTACTCAAGGACAGAATGCGAACAACGACTATGCGCCTAGCTCGGGACACTTCGAAAACAACGACTATGCTCTCAGCCAAGCTCCCGTGGTCATGAGAGACAACAACTACGCTCCCAGCCCGACCCCCTTCAAAGCAAACGTCAACGACAATTTCGACCATGATACCATCAAGCCGATGCTTGCTTATCTGCCCAGAAATGTTTCCCCCGAGGTGTTGCGTTCCATTGCTCAATACCACCAGGATCTGGCCGACGACCTTCGCATGGAAGCCAAGAGACTCGAGAAGGAGATGCGCCAGGAGCACGAGCGCGAGCGCGAGCGCGAGCGCGAGTGGGGAGCACAGGTTGTCAGACAGGCGCGATATGAGTGAGTGTTCCGACCCGCCGGTCGATCCTTTTGGTCCAGGGAGTTCGAAGAGATCCCCTGTTCTCTTGGATTATTTGCTTTTCTTTTGTTTTCCCTTTACTGGCTGGTTTGCATTAGTGGGCGCGGATAAGGTATACACAATGGCGTTCTTGAAGGGAGGCAATGGTTCTGGCATCTGGAAGGCGTTTTGAAAGAGTTATGTATGAGTGCATGTAGACGATGAAAACGAGGGTAGTGATGGAAAGCCCGTCTTGTTACTGGAAAGCCAGAAACTGCCCTGTGGCTCCATAGGCCCCTGGTAGGCCAGGCGGTAGCACTCCAAGACACTTCGTCTTTCTGAGCGAAATATGGAATGGCAGGGCGCTTTGTAAACTGCGATGGCGACAGAAAGACCCAAGGAGCATGGTTTTCTGTTTTGCCGCTTGAAACAACTTGATAGTGTTGCAACACGTTTGTGGAAGTCATCACTCACTTCCAATCAAGTCGTGTTTATTCTAGATCCTGCGAAGGAGGGCTACACATCTGGTCTATTCCTCACATTGTCCTGAGCTCAGTTTCTTTCACGTACCCCTGAGCCAAAATCACTGATATATACCAGTCTTTCCAACCTTGAGAACAGTCTTCCGGTGTGCGACACTCCTTTTCCAAACGATCGAAAACTTTCTCAACCTCACAAAATTACGGTGTTCTACAATGTACTAAGTTACATATCCGTGAACAACACTTCACAAGCGTTAGGCTATACAATTGGCGTATGACAATGGCTTCACTCAATGAGGATCTTGCGGAGGGTACTCCTCAGGATGATGGCGCCAATGTTCCGCGCATGGAAATTTTGGCAGAAGAAATCGCTGAAACGTTGCCAATCAACCGGCCCGCTAAGAGAAAGCGTGACAAAATGGATACCCAAGACAATCTCCAGGACCCCTTACAGACCGCCACGGAAGAAAATAATGGTAATAACGCCAAGTTTTCAAGGAACTGGAAGCCACCGCAAGGTATTATCACAGACAAGGATCTTGAAGATATCTATGCAAGCCTTGGTTTAAGTAGTACGAGGATTAACGAGCTGAGAAAATACAAGGTAAGAGAAGCCGACGAAGTCAATGAGCAATCCGGAGCTAAGTAGCCTGACATTGATACAGGCGGTACGCGAGATTGCTTTACGGAAGAACAAGGACACAATAGACCTTACGGAAAAGCACCAGCTTGGAGCAGCTTATCTTCAGCTTACGGGTGAACGAGCCCAAAATCCCTGTAAAGAATGCCTAGCTGGCAAAGGGCCCTTCGAGCTTTGCGTCTACGGTTCTGGCAGGAGGTGTGGCAACTGCTGGCACCGCCACACCGGCAACGGTCGCTGCTCTTTTCAGAAAACCGGGAAAGAGAATGGCGGTGATTTTTTACAAAACCCACAAAATAAACAAGCAGAGAACCCGGCTGTTGCGAACACGTCAGATAGCAGAAAGGAAGAAACAGGCAGCGGGAAGGATCTGGCCGCCCCAGTTTCTGAAGCTGTCAGTAAACCTTCACATCACGCAGACAAGGATGCTTCTAGATCGGATACCGAATCAGTGTCGGATTTGCTGTCTGAAGCTGGGATCGGGGTAGGGCTTGAACATCATCCAGAGCCGGAGCCGGAACACCAGAAGGGCGGACGAGAACTAAGACCACGGCCGCCACAGCCGCCACAGCCGCCACGGCGTAATAAAAAACCACCACAAAGAGAGCAGAATATTAGAGTGACGGAACCTGTCACGGTTGGCCCAAATCAGCAACCACAAGCTAGGCACGAAAGTTCTACTGTCTTTACCAATCCTACCACCAATACCACTCCTCCCGCCAATGCACCGAACTCTCCATCTATCAGACCAGGTATTGACACACCCCTCAGCCCTCCACCCGCAGCAGCAACACCAACAAGGCAAGCACTACCATCGGGTGTATACAAACCACAATTCCCGCCTGCCGTAGCATCAGTGGTCAACGCACAGATTACCCGCGAACGATGCGGATGCGGATCGAGAGACATTCGCCCCGAAAGACAGCAGCAAATCGATAACAACACGGACCCGGACAGAGATAGGGAGAGGGAAAGAGAGAAGGAGAAGGAGAAGGAGAAGGAGAGGGAGAAGCAGAGGGAGAAGCAGAGGACGCACATCGTCAGCGACCGATCTTTCTCTCTCGGTGGTGGTGCCAGCCCCGGCCCTCCCAACTCCATCCTCGCCTGTCTTCCTCCAAACACCCCAGTTGAAATCATGCGTTGCCTGATGCAATATCACCAGAACCACGCGGATGAGCTGCGGCTCGAGTGTATGAGCATTGTAAAAGATGGAAGGGGAGGGAGCAGGCCGGCGATGGCGTGGGGTGACGCTGGCGGCGTTGGCCCTTCTTCCATTCTCGCGTGTCTCGACCCAAACCAGTCTCCTCTAGAGACGATGCGACGCCTGGGACTGCATTATCAGTATCAGGCGGATGAGCTAAGGCTTGAGTGTGTGAGGATTGAACGGGAGGAGAGAATGAGGAGAGCGCGGGAACGCGAGAGGGAGTGGGAGCGGGAAAGAGGAGGAAGAGGAGGAAGAGAAGATGGCGCTCGCGGGTAGTCCGAAATCGGGTACTCGATTTGTTACATGATGTTTTTCTGAATGATCAGGAGGTTAAGTGGTAAATAAAGTGGTGTTGCTCGTCGCCATTCGTCACTGATTTGTTTGTATCGTGAATTTGGGTAATGCAGTGGACAAAACAGAGAAATACGATAGGCAGAAAATAGTGAACCGTGATTACCGTGCATTCATATTTGATGAGAATAAGTGGTAAGTTACGAGCATTACACTACATGTAAAATTCGAGATCCATCAAAAAATCCGTGCAGCCCCATCCGTGACGGAGAGATAACCGTGGACGTTTACGTACGCGACGGTATGTGTAGCGAAGAGCCATGTATTATTACACATTATCCATGCACGCTGCGTATTGTAACAATTATCCTACACTGGAAACTTACGTACCGAGCGTTCGTCTCCCGCTTCCACGGGCCGTTCATGGAGCGGGCCGCTTTTTACTTCCCGTCATGTTTTAGCGTCCTTTTCTTCTTCTGTCGGACAAGGGCGGCCGGTGGGACGGGACTGTGTCCGTGCCTGTGAAAAGTTCCCGTTACTTTCCGTTTACGTAACTTGCACTTCTTCTGCGGAGTGGATCACAACTTGTTTTCTCCCCTTTGTCTTTCAACTTTACCTCCTTGCACTCGTTCCAATTTTGATGTTGAGAAACTGATGATGGCCTTGTCAATTAATCCACAAGCTGAAAAGTCCCAGTGCGCACTGGCGCAGTGCTGCTCGGGATGGTTCCCTTTCGTCGATTTCAAGAAATTACCAGATCGGCAAAGGGCGCGATGTCATTGGCAGGAATTATGGCGTAATGATGGCGGGGAACATGGGAGCGGATGATGCGGATTGGTGTGTTCGTGCTTCCCTGATTTGTGATTTATTGCCAACTTTGTCGACCACAGCGAGGGATCACCGACGAACACACAAAGTCACGATACCGAAAAGAGAGATTGGATGCTTTTTGAAAGTGTTTTGTGGTCAAAAGACTGTATTTCAAGGTACTACTCTACCTCGTCTGTTCAGTGCAACATTACATCCCTTTCCCCCGGCTGTTCCGGCGGTTTCATCGTTGAGCAACGTTTCACTATCTTCACACCACTCTTTAACATTCCACGAGTACTCCCATCGGCGAGATTCAGGGTCAAACAAACCAAGTCCAATTAGATCTCAACACTCGGAAAGTTCAAGCATGGCAACACCCCGGGTCTTCATCATTCGGCACGGTGAAACGGAATGGTCACTCGACGGCCGTCACACGGGATCGACCGACATCCCGCTCACAGCAAATGGCGAGAAGCGTGTCAAGGCAACGGGCAAAGCACTTATAGGTGACGACCGCCTCATTGTTCCCAAGAAGCTGGCTCATGTGTGAGTGATCTTCCCCTGTTTCCCGTCTCCTCCTCTTGTACGTGATACATAAGTACACAATGCCCCAGTCGGTTTACTTCCCTTTACTGCACTGAAAGTAGCAGAAGGAAAGACGAGCCAGAATGTGCATATGGCCAAGATGCTTTGAACGACTGGTGTAACCAGCCAGTCCGCAGTCGGGTACTCCTCAGCTGACTTTGCCCGTGGCGGTCTTAAAACACATCTTTGATGCCAACACTGGCCAGTACACCAGCTAACACCACACACACACACACAGATACGTATCTCCCCGAAAAAGAGCCCAGCGCACCTTTGAGCTTCTAAACCTCGGTTTCCAAGGCCCGCTGCCATGGGCGCGTCACGGCGAGTGCGAGTCCAAGGCAGTTCCATGCGATGCCAAGGTTGAAGTCACTGAGGACATCCGCGAGTGGGATTACGGTGACTACGAGGGCATCACTAGCCCGCAAATCAGGGAGAAGAGGAAACAGCAAGGCCTCGATCCCAACTGGGATATTTGGAGGGATGGATGTCCTGGAGGAGAGTGAGTTGTCCTTTACTGCTTTCATGTTTCACCTTGCGTCTCGTAATTCTTTTGGAGTATGATTGCTGACCACTGGAAATCTCGTCGTTCCTTTGCAGGAGTCCCGCAGATGTCAACGCGCGCTGTGACCGTCTCATCAAGGACATCAGGGAGAGGTTTCACACTCCCGCTCTGAACAAGCCCAAGGGAGATCCTGATGCGGATCGTGCGGATGTGTTGATTGTTGCCCATGGACACATCCTTCGTGCTTTTGCGCAGCGATGGACTGGGTTGTCTTTGCATGAGGGACCTTCGTTTTTGCTGGAAGCCGGTGGTGTTGGTACTTTGAGGTGAGTGCGATCTGTCCATTGATACCTTACCTTGTCACATTTTCAGGAAGCTGACAGGATCGATGTAAAAGCTATGAGCATCACAATATTGATGAACCTGCTATCCTTTTGGGTAGTGCTTTCCATGTTGACTTTGAGGGTAAGTCTTCTTCTCTCTGATAACTGAACGTGTGGTGTGGTTGAAGCTTGGATGGCCATGACATCCTTGTCTGTTAAGTTCTCGTCAAACACGCCATTTATCTACTGACACTGTGTTCAGATGACGAAAAGCTGGATAAGCTAAAAAAAGTTTAAAATCCCCTAGGTTTCGGGAAGGGGAGCGAGGGATGAATATCGAGATGTCGTTGGCATAGATGGCCAGGGCTATGTCGCTGTGGGTATATAGAGGCTATGTTCCGGTCCACCACCATCAATCAGCTACGGTGGATGTCCACATCCACAAGTCTTCCGTAGTATACTTGGGGGTTAGCGATGGCTTAGGTGGACCCTTTTGCCAACCCCCTCTCATAAAAGAGGGGGAAATTTTTGTATAGGACAAATTTTTAGTCTAGGACAGCCCACATAGTAAACTACTAGTAAATTGTCCTATCCCTATAATAAAGTACTATATTATATATTAATACAATGTTGTTTAAAGCTGTTTAAAGTCCAGTATATTGCCTAGTTAAGTAGTAAGTAAATAAATAAAAGAATTTCAATTTTTATCTATCATTTTCTAGCGCTGGTACAAGTACTAGTGCCTCCTCTATTAATATAAATATTAGTATAGGTGTAAATATAAGTACTATTTCTTCTACGACCGCCTCCCTTCTTACTAATATATTCTTAATACGTACAATTTGCTTTCGTACTTATATATAAAGTCTTATAATACCTTTAATGTATTTTATAACCCCCTAATATAGTATTAATTCGAAAGATTGTAATTTTAATAGAGTAGAGGGGTTAACGGCTAATATTAATATTAATAGTCCAATTTATATGGGAAGTCTTAGTGTAGCGGGCGGATTAAAGAGATGGTAATTAATTGGTAGGAGTAATAATAAGGTATACTCCTCTTTTTCCTCTTCTTCTTCCTCCTCTTCCTTATCGTCCTCCCTATTATATACCGCCTTAAGGATAACTTTGTCTTCGTTATTAATAAGAGTACTTTCGTCTTCGAATATAACGTTAACTATTTATATATTAAAACGAGCAACGACGTCGGTAATAGACTTAAGGATAGGCTCCTCTATCGAATTAATAATTTATATATTAATATAGGCGGCTATTTGAAAACTAATTTTAATAATAGGGTACTAAAGTAGGCAGAGAAGGGAAAATAGGGACTCTAGCGGTTATTAAATAATTAAAGGGTATTAAACGGTAGAGGGATTATTACCTAGATTAATATTAACTAAATTATTAAAAAAGAAGTAAGAAGGGTTACCTTATACCCTTTTAAAAACTTCTAATATTAGTATACCCTATGTGTCCCATACAAATAACCTTCTCTCCTCCTCCTCTTCCTTTTCGTCGTCGTTAAATATATCTTCTTTATAAATTAGTATATAATTATCTTTTAATTACTCTTTCTTTTAATTATCGAAGTAAACCTTCTATATAACCTTCCTTTTACTATTAATTAAATCTTTAACTTATTAATTATATAGTTATTTCTAAAATTTTTTATTATATACTTTAACGTCTATTAATTGTTTTTTTTCTTTAATTAATTATTCTTTACGTTACTTCTTTATAATTTTCTAATTAAGCTCTTCTTTAGAGAGATTTAAAAATTCGCCCTCTCGAATAATTTTATATACCCGCCGCTTCATTTTATAGTCGAAATTGGCTGCCTTTTCCCCATTTTAACGGTTATATTCTTATATAGTATTATACGTTAATAGCGCTTCGTAAATAACGACTTTAGCAGCGTAATATCAAATACGTATAGGAGAATTAAACGTATAATAATATTTATTTTTATTATAGGTAATGATTTTCGTAGCTTTTCAAAAGCGGTCTTCTTTAGGGAGTAACGAAGGTAAGGCGGGATTGGATTTTTTAGGCTACTTTATTCGGATTTATAGTAGGACTTTAATATGGTTAATTAACTACGTCCTAATATTAGAGAACCCATTGAAAATATTATATACAGTTATATTACTATTGAGGATATATTAAAAGGTTGGGGATAATATAATTAGTAAGGGGACGAAATGATAATATAGGGACGAGATTAATTTTGAATTCTTTAATAAATATAATGTGAATAAAATTAAATTCGCCCCGCTAAATAAATTACTTTAATACCTTTTAATAATAGCCTTTAAGGGACGAGAATATATTAACGTCGAAGGGTTATATTATATATATTAAATAAGGAAATAAAACTATTAAAATAATATTAAAAGTATTAGCGTATTATTTAACCTTTATATTGTAATAATTATTAAACCTATCGATAATTAATAGATAGTAAATTGGTTTATAAAGCTTTTTTAAACCGATACTATTATTGAAGTCTTCGAACTTCTTACTAATATAATTAATTCCATACTAGTTATACCCGAATTAATCCTAGAAGGAGAATCCTTTATTGCTTAGTTTATAATTATCCTCTTCCTTCAATTTCGTAAAAGTAGGGGACGAATAGAAGGAGTATTAATTGAAGTATTTTAATTAATCGACAGTAAGGTCGGTATTCGAAAAGCTAATTCGTAATTTAGCGAATTATATAGAGTTATTAAAGTCATTAGTAATAAAATCCTCTATTAAGTCCGTTTTAAAAATTATATAAATAAGGATAATTTTACTGGTTATATTTATTTTAATTATTAAAGTAGCTGACTTTCGATTAGTAATATCGTTAATTTTTAATTAGAAATGAATAAAGAAAATCGGTAAGCATTTATCCTTATACAGTTTAATTAGTAAAGTAACATTTTCAATTGTATTAATTTACTTTATATTTAGCTAATTTTTTAATATAATTACCCTTATACGTCCGCTCGCTACGTAGCCTAATTTTATACCTATTTTATTATAAATCTTAATATTATTACCGTTAATATTATACTTCTTAAATATAATTCCGTAAGTATTAAACTATTCATTAACGGAATCTTTATTTAATTCCTAAAATCGCCGCTTAATATCGATTATATAGTAAGTTGTAATTTTCAATTTAAAGTAGTCTTTAAGGAAATTAATTAACTATATTACGTTATAAATTTCTGAAGCCCTATGTAACGAACGTAATTAATTTACCGCTGTAATAATTATTTAATATAATGCGGGAAACTTTCCCCGGAAGTAGAATATTATATATAATATATATTATAGGGCCAGCCTGTGATGTAGTTGCACTGTACTATCTGCACATATGCTATGCTAGAGCTGGTGCTATAGCTTAGAGCTATGTACTTACGTACTAGTTATATATCCTAATTATATGTAGCCTTACGTACGCACGTATAGATTGGCCTGCTAGGCTCCCGCCTATATAGTTAATCCTCTACGTATACTTTCCTTTCTCTCCCTTATATAATAACGTATATTTTACCCTACCCCTAATGGTGCCCTTACGCTCTATAATAGTTTATTATATTTTATTATTACGCTACGCGCGTTTATTTAAGGGAAGAGTAATTATAATCAATTTTAATCGTTACGACGTCGCTAATTTAATATTGTCGATTCGTAATTAAGATTCGTCCTTATATAATTAAAACCCCGCGTCGCAATCCTAATTTCGAATTAAGTAAATTATTAAGCCGAATATCGCTATTAAGTAATTCGTACTCTCTTTTTCCCTTTTACCTACCCAGCGTATTAATTTAGCGATTAATATTTAACGATATTGTTTTATACGCTCCCCCGGTAACTAATAATTTTTTATTATTATTACGGTCAGTTCCTTCGCTATTTTAAATCCGGTTAACTAAGAATATTATTCTAACGTGGTTTAAGCCTTCGAATCTCTTAACAATTAAGCAGTTTAAATCGATATTACTACCGAATATACATTTAGCTTCGTTTAATTCCTTATCTTTTAAATAACTTTTAAGGCCTTTAACCGCCTTCTCTATAACGAGATTGTTACCGCCCGTATTTAAACCTAAGAAGTATAGGAAGAATTTGAAGTTTATAAAGCTAAGTTTATTACCGCCTAATACGACGTTAAACGTTACAATAATAATATCGCTACGATCTAAATTTAAACCCTCCTCTACGTATAAGAAGTAATTAAGAATTATAATAAGGCTATCTATAACCTTTGTAATAATTACGCTGACGAGTTTACTATTATCCGCGATATTTATTCTAACGTCGTTAATACCCTTAATTATGATATTATTGTTTTGAAATAAGAATTCGCCGACTTCCACGTAAATTCGAAGAAAGTATATAAGAAATAACGCGATAAGTATTTTAAATACGTTAACGACTTTCATTAACGTTTTATCGCCGCCTCTAAGGCCGAAGTTATTCTGCCTACCGACGAGGACTTTAATAACGACGAGGACCCCGAGGATCCTAAGATAATAATTTCCAACGACGATAGCGGTTATAAGTTGGTATTGTATATTATTATATTTCTTGCTTTCAATAGTAAAGGTACTTCTATCGAACGTATTATTAAATATTACGCTTAGCGTTTCTGTATTAAATTAGCTTAGGTTAATGAGTTAAAAACTTTTATTATCGAGCGTATTAAATTTTTATTAATCGCCCGCTCTATCGAAAGCCCCCCCTTCGAAGTTATTGAAACCGAATTTAATAAGGTCCTTACCGGTAAGCCCGCTAAATAGAATATAACCTTCGAATTACTTAACGAATTCGATAAGAAATATAATAATGTTAACGTCGTCGTTTATTTTCGCCGCGAGTTAGAGGAGTTAAAATGATTAACGGAATAAAGTAGTAGGATTTCGAGGACAAATTTATTTTCTTTATCGACTGCTATAATTTTAATAATAGTATAAAGGTTTATTATTTTTATTAGAAGACTAACGAACGTATTTGTATTACCTTTATTTATTAGAGTAATTAGCCTGCTAATAATAAGTATAAGAAATAGTTTATTAAGGCCCGTAGTTTAGCTAAGAATTTAAAAAATAAAAATTAGTATAAGAAGAATGTTAACCCCTTCTATAAAACCGGTACTACTACAAGTACTAACGCCTTTACTTTTAAATTTAATATTAATTAAGGCGGTAACGCTATATACTTTAACGTTATATCCGCTTCCGATATTCAATTCTTTTATATAATTAATAATAAGGTTTTTAAATTTCGTATAAAGAACAGAATATGTACCCGCTACGGTAAGAAGGGTTATTTTTCAGCCGAATAGCGTTTTCGTATTAATTTTAAGAAGGAAGTTAAGCCCTCTAATTATAATAAGAATAAGAATAAGAATAAAAGTAGTAGCAATAATAATAATACCAGTAATAACGCTACTGGTGGCTAGTAGCCCGCCTAGGGTTAATATGGTTACGGTTAATAGCGCTCCTATAATAGCGGCAGCTATTAGGT